GCTAGTCCTACTGTCACGCGTCTCAGGGCCACTGTTGTCACTAACCCTTCCTTTGAGTCCACTGCTGCGTCTACCTTAGTTGGTGAGCTTGTCGACTTTGCTGCTCACTGTTTTCTAGACTACGCCGCTAGTCTTGTTGCTGAGCCTGAGTCTGTTTGTCCTCCGTCCGTCGGAGGTGAGGGTGCTCTTGGCACGGACGTCCTTGAGGACAGGCAGGAGGACTTTGAGTGCTTTGTAGCCACTGTACCTCATCTCGTGTCCATGCTGATTGCACCTGAGGGAGACCTGGATGCACCAGACATCCCGACCCCGCGCTCTTACGCAGAGGCGATAGAGGGTCCCTACTCCTCTCAGTGGCAGTCAGCCATGGACGCAGAGATGGCATCCTGGAAGTCCACAGGCACCTACGTCGACGAGGTTCCCCCTCCTGGCATGTGGATTTTCAGGGTGAAGCGGCCGCCGGGTTCTCCGCCTATCTTCAAGGCGCGTTACGTTGCTCGAGGCTTCAGTCAGCGACAGGGAGTTGACTTCTTCCAGACCTTCTCCCCGACCCCGAAGATGACCACTCTTCGGGTTCTGCTGCACGTCGCTGCTCAGCGTGACTACGAGCTTCACTCTCTTGACTTCAGCACTGCTTTCCTACAGGGCAGCCTGCACGAGGAGATCTGGCTGCGCCGCCCACCTGGCTTCACTGGGTCGTTTCCTGCAGGTACCCAGTGGAGCCTCCGGCGGCCAGTCTACGGTCTCAGCCAGGCACCCCGTGAGTGGCACGACATACTGAGGACTACGCTTGCGGCTCTTGGGTTTGCTCCTTCTACTGCTGACCCCTCGCTGTTTCTGCGCACCGACACTTCGCTGCCGCCGTTCTACATCCTCGTGTACGTCGACGACTTGGTCTTTGCCACTGCTGACACTGAGGCTCTCGCCCACGTGAAGTCGGAGCTGCAGAAGAGACACGCGTGCACAGACCTGGGTGAGCTGCGCAACTATCTTGGCTTGCAGATCACGCGGGACAGAGCACGATGCACCATTACCTTGACTCAGTCACACATGGTGCAACAGATCATTCAGCGATTTGACTTCACGTACTCCTCGCCTCAGGCCACTTCTCTGTCTACTCGCCACTCGCTCTCAGCTCTGCCTTCGGATGAGTCCGTAGAGCCGAGTGGCCCGTATCCAGAGCTTGTTGGCTGCCTCATGTATTTGATGACCTGCACTCGACCTGACTTGGCATACCCTCTTAGCATCTTGGCGCGCTATGTTGCTCCTCGGAGACACCGACCAGAGCACATGGCTGCAGCTAAGAGGGTGTTGCGCTACCTGTGCAGTACGTCGGGCATGGGGCTCGTGCTTGGAGGACGGGCTCGAGTTGTCCTCACTGGTCACGCAGACGCTTCTTGGGTTGACGACTTGGCTACGCAGCGGTCGTCACAGGGTTACACCTTCAGCCTTGGTTCCGGCTCTGTTTCGTGGCGGTCTACCCACTCGTCCTCTGTTCTCAGCTCCAGTTGTGAGGCTGAGATCTACGCTGGGGCCATGGCTGCACAGGAGTTACGCTGGCTCACCTACCTGCTGACCGACTTGGGAGAGGCGCCTCGTTCTCCTCCAGTTTTGTACGTCGACAACAAGGCCATGCTGGCCTTGTGTCAGGAGCACAGACTGGAGCACCGAACGAAGCACATTGCTCTGCGCTACTTCCTTGCTCGAGAGTTGCAGTAGCGTGGCTAGCTTCGTCTTGCTTACGTGGCCTCTCGGGCCAACATTGCTGATATCTTCACCAAGGCACTTCAGCCTTGTGATCATCAGCGTTTCTGTACTATGTTAGGTCTTGTGCCTGCAGGGCCTCACATACTCACCTCTTGACTTTGCTTGTACTGTGATCTATATATACCTGCACCTGCATGCTTGCCCTTGTTAGGTTGAGATCACTGTCTTGCTTGTTCACCTTGATTTATAATCCTGCATGTGAACTGGCCTTGTGGCCTTGAACTTGTGCTCGGAATGTGTGGTGACGTTGTGATCCACCCTGAGCTTGACTTTGTCTTGTTCTCCTGCTTGTCCCCCACTTTGCCTATGGGGGTGTGTCAGAACCATATTGTAGGCTGTAGTGGGGTTGACAATATGGGGTACAACTCTTTTAGGTTTTATATTTGTACCCACCTGCTTCCTAGTTCATTCGTTCCTCGTTCATTCTTCACAGACGTTACCACCAGATCAGTGTCAATACGCCCGGCTGCTCGAAAACTGCCTTCCGAACCCGCTATGGATCGTTCGAATACACGGTAATGCCCTTCGGACAGACCAACGCCCCCGCCACCTTCCAAATGATCGCTTTTTGATAAGTGTGTCATCGTCTACTTAGACGATATACTGATATTGAGCCCAGACCGAGCACAGCACCTAAGGGACATCGGAAGAGTTTTTTAAATTCTGAGTGAGAACCGCCAACTAGCCAAAGAAATTAAGTGTGAGTTGTTACAGGACCGACTTGAGTTTTTAGGACACATTATTTCACCCGGTCCTGTAATAATGTGATCTTCTTCGAGTATATTTCCAATCACGTACGAGTCCTGCAAGCTTCACCCGCCCGAACGCAACTATTCGATACACGAACGCAAGATGCTGGCGATCGTGCACACGTTCAAAGTGCGGCGATGCTACCTCACTGGAGCAGACGTGACAGTACTGACAGACTGATCACTACAGTTCCTCCTCGCCCAAACCAACCCACTTTTAACAGGCCTATTCACCCACGGATACCGCACCGACCTATTTTTCACGATTGGAAATTCGCAGAAACTGACAGAAGCAAAATGAGTTTATTACGTAAAAACATGCACCAACCGCATCTAGGCACCCGCATATTCACTGATAAAGGAACTGCTCCTGCAAGAGGCACACGATAGAATTACCTCGGGTCACTTCAGGATAGAAAAGATGCGACAGCAACTGCGGCGGTATTATTACTGGCCAGAGCCGTGACCGACGTACAACACTACGTGGGATCGTGCCCACGTGTCAGGTGATGAAAAGCTCGCGCAAAAGAAAGGCGGGTCAGTTGTAGCGAATCCCACCGCCCGAGCGCGAATGGCAGCAGGTTACCTTCGAGCCTTGCGGGTAACGACGCAGTTATAATCGTTGTTGACAGACTGACGAAAATGGCTCACTTTGCTGCATGCAGGAAATCGATCTCAGCCGAAGACACCGCTCGCTTGTTCGTCGCGACCGTCGTTCGACTGCACAGGATACTAGTCGCAATAATCAGCGACCGTGACTCGAAGTTCACCAGCAACTTCTGGAAGAACCTTTGGGAGCAGTTCAGGACCCTGTTACAGTTCAGATCGTCGTACCACCCCAAGACCGACGGTCAGACGGAGCGGACGAACCAGACCATGGAGCTGTTGATTCGTGCCACGTGCGACGACCCGACAACATGGGAGCAGCAGCTGCCGCTGATCGAGTTCGCCTACAACAACGCCACGCCAGCGACGTCGCAGCAGTCGTCATTTTACCTTTACTACGGGCAAAACCCAACAGTGCCCATGACACCAAGCCCGAACAACCCCATGCCACACGCACAACAATTTGCCGAGATCCTGCAAGCTGCCCGGACCCGTACAGCAGACGCAATTAAAAAGCAAACGTCATCGCAAAAAGGAACGCTGACCGCCACCGCCGCCCACTAACGTACCAGTCGGGAGATTACATCATGCTCAACGCGCAAAACTGAAGATTTTACGTCGTACCGAAACTTCGACCGTGCTATAGTGGACCATTCCAAATCAGCCACATGATCACCCCAGTCACGACCCATCTACTGTTGCCGACAGACTCGTACATCAGCCCATCGTTCTGTCAAAGGTGCACTTAAGTTCCCCAATTGATCCTAGGGAGGGTTATAGACACGTTGGCCTGGGGGGTTATGGGTGGGCGCACTCACCCGCTACACAAACAAGCCCTTTAATCCCAGTGGTTAATGGCTGGAATTCTGACACGTTCCACGTCAGCCTGCTTCGCCCATACGTAACGACCACGAGCCAACTGCCACGCCATCGCCGGCCATCCATGAATCGCCCTGCGTCGGAGCCGATCGTTGAGCACGAGAAGATCCTGAGGCATCGAATTCGTCATCCCACATGCATCAAGAGGATCGAGTTCCTCGTTCGTTGGAAGGACCGCACGCCAACCGAAGACAGCTGAGTGCCCCTGGCCTACATAGAAAACCGCCCTGCCTTGCAAGTGTACCTGAGGAGCCGGGGTTTCCGCGATAAATACGCACTCGCGTAGCGGAGGGGGCTTCTTGAGGGGGGGGAGGGGGGGGGGGGGGGGGGTATCGGCAACCCTTACCGCGTACGTCAACATTGTGTACAGCAGCCTCCGTTGTTCGCGTGTTACTGCTAACGGGACTTCGCCAACATTCGCGCGCACTGTTTCACCAAACCATACACCGCTGGGCCGGCCGCATCGGCCTACGCTTCGGGAATAGCCCAAACCTCGCTGCCAGCCTAGCACTAGCTAGCTCGCACGCACCGCGTTAACGTTGGATGTTCGCGTATAAGCATTCGCTCATGCTTTCGCTGATACTTTGTACTCGTTTGACACCTAATGCAATCCTCGCTATCTCGTTCCATTGCACCCGTAACAGTATGGTAGTACACAAGCAGCACTGTAATCTGTAACTCAGCGCATGCTGCTATTGCGCTACACCATTCCACAGGAGAAAATTTGACAAAACCACACCCTTCCATGAGTAAGCATCCATTACATGCACTACCGTACTACTACAGTACTGATCCCAACCACACATGCCTGGGACGGGACCAAGCTGCATCAGGTCAGGATTCAGCAGGAATCCTACCCAGCACTCAACAGCACGCAGCAGCAGCCCTCTCAGTGTGTGTCCCAGCCAGCTCCCTACTCGTGCTCAACTCCCATTATTCGTGTTGAGGGCCGACTAACTGCCTGACTGACTGCCTGATTGGCTCCGGCTCCCACCCAGCTCACAACGCCCGTGCGTCAGCATCAGCACCAGTTTCCTCCTCCCCCCCCTCCCCCCTCTCCCCCCTCTCTCCCTTGCCCTCCCACAGTGCCTCCACCCTGTACCTCTGCCTGCCCTCCTCCGTCATCACATGCACCACCGTGCGCCCTGCACGCGCACACACAAGGGGCATTGGTGTGGAACGAGGAGGGCACGGGGGAACGAGCGGCCGGAGGAGATTTCAGTTAGCATCTATGATATGAAGAGGCTTCCTCCTCCGCCATCACATGCAACACCGTGCGCCCTGCACGCGCACACAACCAGGGGAGTTGTGTCGGTCGAACAGAGGAGGCGACAGGGAGATGGGGACCCGGAGACGGGGACCCTTTCAGTAGAGCACCTATTGAGCAGGTATCCATCCCATGCCGCAAACAGGAAGTTGGACGGACCATGAAGGGGAGGGGGGAGGAAGCTCTTAAAGGGCATCTCCCAAAAGGGTTCCTTCGTTTTCACATGCACCAACGTCCTCCACCGCAGAAATGCAAAAGGGAGTGAGTCAAGGGTGGGATGAAAGGAGGGGACGGGGGATGGTGGAAGGGGAGGGTTTGAAGACGGGAGGGAGGAGACAGGATGGAGAACTGAGGTCGGGTGATGATAAGTTGCGCCTGAGAAAGAGGGAACGGGGCAGGGAGGGATTGTTTTTTTAGAATCCTCAAAAGGCCAGCTAGGTAGCTGTTGGGTGATGGGAAGCTGGTGGTGAGAAACAAAGCAGCAACGTAGCGGGACACGCCGGACAGGGAAGGGTGGTGGCCAAATAAACATTAGAAGCAACGTTGATAAAGAGCTTAGGGTTTCGGGGCACAGGGAGCAAGGGCAGTTGAGCAAGGTGGTGGTGGTGGTGTGGTGTGATGACTGAGGGGAAGTGTGGTGAAGCAGCTCCTTCTCCCCCTCCTCCTTCCCCCCCTTGCCCCTCTTCCCCCCTTCCCCCCCTTCCCCCCCTTCCCCACCTTCCCCACCTTCCCCACCTTCCCCCCTTCCCCCCCCTTCCCCCCTTTTCCCCCCTTCCCCCCCTTCCCCCCCTTCCCCACCTCCCCCTCCCACACTGACCGCAGTCCAGCAGCATCCAGTGCTCCGCCTCCTTGCCCTCCACCTCTGGCGCCCGCGCTGCCATGCCCTGCCTCACGTACCGCTGCTTCAACTGGCATGCACAGCACAGTGAGAGGATGAGAGGATGAGAGGAAGCGAGGATGACATGGTACGTGCAAACGGGGGAGGAGAGGGTGCGAGGAGGGATGGTTTGGGACGTGTAAAACTGGTGGAAAGGTGAAGCGTGGAGGACTAGAGGGTGGAGAGGAGTGTGGGAGAGTGGAGAGTAAAGTGAGTGAGCCGTGAGGCTGCGGGGGAGATGAGTGGTGGGGTGGAATGGGCAGGGCATAGGCAGGAGAGTGGGCAAGAGGAGAAGCAGAGAAGGGTGGTGTGTGTGACAGACAAACGACACAGCAAGCAATAAATGCAGGCTCGAGCTACAGAAACGCCCTCAAATGATTGTCCCGCTGCATCCACCTCGGCTCGACCAATTGCCTTTCCCATCCCAGGCAGCCGACCAGCCTGGTTACTTACGCAAACGGCAGACGGCAGACGGCACAGCAAAGCACAGCAGCAATCCGCATGTGCAGCTCAGAAGCACTCGCGACAAGGCAAGGCAAGCGGGTGACCAGGGGTCCCTTCCTCCCAAAACGACCAACAGGGAATTGAAGGCGCCTCACAACGCACCTCATAGTCCAGCCCTGCATTGCGCCCGCTGGCAGGAGGAGGGGGTGGAGTGAGCGGCAGCGCAGCGAGCACAAGCTGGGCAAACACACAAGACCCACCTGGAGTTGAGGGAACCACACACCTCGTACGCCAGCCCGGCAGCGAGGCCTCGTGCGTGGCGCGTGGAGTGGGCGGTGGCGAGCACGAGGTGCTCCGCAAACTGGCAGCGCCCCGCCACGTGCAGCACTCGGATGTCCCGCGCCCGCCCCTTGGTTAGTAGCTGTGCGGCCTCTGATGGGGTGAGACACGGCAGGCGCGCTGAAGGCTGTGGGGGGAAGGGGCGGGGAGGAGGAAGGACGGAGGAAGGGAGGAAGGGAGGAGAAAGGGGAGGATAACAGGGGAGGAAGCAGGACAGGAGAGGAGAGAGAGAGGGAGCGCATGAAGGGAGGCACAGCAGAGCGCATGTGCCCAATGGCAGCGTCACTCCACGTGCACCACGCGGAGCGGATGTCCCGCGCACACCCCTTGGTCAGTAGCTGTGCAACCTCTGAGGGGGACAGGCAGGGCAGACGTACTGACGGCTGGGGTGGGGAGGGGGAGAGAGGGCGGGGAGGAGGTAGTGGAGCAGGAACGGTTGGAGCGAGAGAGAGAGAGAGAGTGGAGAAGACGAAGGGAGGTAACGGATGGGCATGAGTGAAGGGAGAAGGGAAAGAAAGGGAAGGAACGCGAGTTGCAGTACCAGTCCAGAAGGGTGCCATGATAGGTCCACACTAGCGTCGCCTTCCTCTTGCCCCGCCTCCACATCCCCTTCCCGTCTCTCCACGTCATCACCTCCCGCTTCCCCTCCTCCCCCTCCCTCCCCTCCCTCCCCTGCCTCCCCGCTCTCTATGGTGGCCTGCCCTGCCTGCCCTCCCAGCTCTCGTGGAACCAACAACTCCTCCTCGTCCGCACCTCCTTCCTTTCCACTCGCATGTCCGCCATACCATCTCGCATGAGCGCGGGGGGAGGGATAGGCGGAGCGAGAGGGATGGGAGGAATGAGCGGGATAAGCCGGGTAAGCGGGATAAACGGGAACTGGCGAGATCGCGGAGGAGGTCGGGGGAGCGGCGGAGGGGCCAGCGCTACAAGCGGGGGCACCACAGTACGGATCCGCGCGAGCAGCGGGAATGGGGGCGATGGCGGAGGCGAGAGTAGCGGGAATGGGGACGACGGTGGAGGGGAGAGTAGCGGGAATGGGGGCGATGGCGGAGGCGAGAGCGGCAGCGCACGGCGCAGGTGGGGGAGCGAAGGTAGTGGGATAAGCAGTTGTAACAACACTACCGTCGGACGGCGATACGTCCAGCAGTGCACGCAAGTGTCGCCGGGGCGCGCGGCCACCTGCTCGGCTTGTAACGACACGAAGCATGGCTAGTAGCGCGGACGGACAATCGCTAGTGGTTCACAGAAACGGGTTCTTGAAAAAGGTGGTTTCCGAACGCGGTTCAGTTTTGCTCGATAGTTGCTCAAAGTTGCGCAAAATTCTTCGTTAACTCATAGAACCTCAAGAAAATCCCCGCATACTGTATGATAGAGAACCAAATTATAATACGGTAGTGGGAGAAAAAGTATTCAGTGAATGATAGTAGCATAAAATTGCACACTGCCACACTTCAAGCTGCACGCTTGAGAAGCTGGAGCGACATACATACCGGTACCACATCGGATTCGGAACATGTTGGTGTATTTACGGGCAGTATCAAGACGAATAGATTTCTAAATTCGAGGAGAAGTGGAGAATGAGGAAGAAGAGGCGGGGGGTGACTAGGATGATTTAGAGGAGGAAGAGGGAGGTGGAGCCAAGGGAGCAAGCATGTCCTGCAGTGCTTGGGTGATGGTGGCGGCCTTGTATGTGAAGAACCCCACTAGCATGGGGATGAGCTCGAGAGGCACTGCTCCGTACTGCGGCACCAGAATCCTGTGGGAAGGGCAGAGGGGCATGCATGGAAGGGCAAGAGGGCGGGGAGAGATGGATGTATGAGGGGGAGGAAGGGAACGGGACGATGGTGAGACGGCGTTGCGAATGTATAGATTTATGGGATGATGCGTGAGGTGTATGTGTGGGAATGCAGTGACATGGAGGAATGGTAAATTTGAGAGCAGGAAAGCGAGGAGAAGGCATGATGCTGTCTCTTGGCTGTGGCATCACAACATGCCATCATCACAACATGCCATAAGCACAACATGCCATAAGCACAACATGCCATAAGCACAACATGCCATAAGCACAACATGCCATCATCACAACATGCCATCATCACAACATGCCATCATCACAACATGCCATCATAAAAAACAGGCCATCATGCCACAAAACCATCGCAACCCCTACCCCAGCCCCACTTTTGAGGCGCCTCAACAGTCGGCTCGTAACCCCCATGAAACTACCTCAGCCGCGCAACCTACTCGTTCCATCTGTTGAACGTCATCACGAGCACCACCGGCACCAGCAGCCTGGGCTGACCCACAGCTCCCCTGTAGTGCACCATTGGCCGAGCACCATGTGGAGGGGCGAGGGGGCGTGATGAGGAGCGAGGAGGAGCGAGGAGAAGAGAGGAGGAGAGAGGAGGAGAGAGGAGGAGAGAGGAGGAGAGAGGAGAGAGGAGGAGGAGAGGAGGAGAGAGGAGAAGAGAGGAGAAGAGAGGAGGAGAGAGGAGGAGAGAGGAGGAGAGAGGAGAAGAGAGGAGGAGAGAGGAGAAGAGAGGAGGAGAGAGGAGGAGAGAGGAGAAGAGAGGAGGAGAGAGGAGGAGAGAGGAGAGAGGAGGAGGAGAGGAGGAGAGAGGAGAAGAGAGGAGGAGAGAGGAGGAGAGAGGAGAAGAGAGGAGGAGAGAGGAGGAGAGAGGAGAAGAGAGGAGGAGAGAGGAGAAGAGAGGAGGAGAGAGGAGGAGAGAGGAGAAGAGAGGAGGAGAGAGGAGGAGAGAGGAGAAGAGAGGAGGAGAGAGGAGAAGAGAGGAGGAGAGAGGAGGAGAGAGGAGAAGAGAGGAGGAGAGAGGAGAAGAGAGGAGGAGAAAGGACGAGAGAAGAGAGGAGAGGAGAGAGGAGAGTGGAGGGAAAAGGAAGAACACAGAGAACAGAGGAGGAGAGTTGAGGAGAGGCAAGGCAAGCATGGGAAGAATAGCAGACAGAAGAACGTCGAACCAACAGTTACAAAATGAGGAGTGCTACTGGCAAGCTGGTCTCACCCGCATGCCACAAGCCTCCCCCACGCATGCTCGCACGCAGCACAGAGCAAAGACTCAAAGCACATGCTAGTGGCCACTGTCATGACAGCACAGCACATGACAGTGGCCTGATGCAGTGCAGGGTCAGGGAGTCCGCGCGTGAGCAGCTGACGCAGAGTGAGTGAGTGAGAGAGTGAGTGAGGGAGTGAGTGAGGGAGTGAGGGAGTGAGTGAGGGAGTGAGGGAGTGAGTGAGGGAGTGAGTGAGGGAGTGAGTGAGGGAGTGAGTGTGCACCTGACAGCGCCCTGCACGGAGCTGGCTCCCAAGGCCTCCACACTAGAGGAGAGCATGCGCACGTACACCAGTGACCCCACCGCGCCCACCGCGTAGCTGCACAGGGCACGCACACACACGCATGCACGTCCAGAGAGGGGGGACAGGGAATGAGCGCGAGAGGAAGGTGAATCCTCAATTGACTCTCAAAAGGCCTCCACACTGGACGAGAGCATGCGCACGTACACCAGTGACCCCACCGCGCCCACCGCGTAGCTGCATGGGACACATACACACATGCAGGAGTATGTGTTGTGGTGGGCTGCTGTGGATTGCAGGAGTATGTGTTGTGGTGGGCTGATGTGCTTTGTGGTATGAGTAGCCTGATCATCAACCCTCCCTCTCCCCAACCTTCCCACCCTCTTCCCCAACCCTCCCTCCCTCTCTCCACGTCTCCCTTTCCCCGCTCCTCCTCCCACCTCACTCTCCTCTCCCCGCTCCTCCTCCCACCTCACTCTCTGCGCACCATTCTTCACTGCCTCACCTGACAGCAACCTCAGGGCTGTACAGCACAGCAGCACCCTCGCAATGGGAAACCTCAGCATTGTTACAAGCATAGCTAACGCCTATCTTCTTCTCGCCCTCTCACTGCTCCTCCCCCCGACTCACTCACCTGACTGCAATCTCAGGGCTGTACAGCACAGCAGCAGTGCCTGTGAAAAAAAAACCACTAAAGCCTCTCGTCTTCTCTCCCCCACTCCCCGCTCCTCACTGCCTCACCTGACTGCAATCTCAGGGCTGTAGAGCACAGCAGCACCCTGCCCAGAGTACGCCTCCCTCTCCCTCTTCCTCTCTCGCTCCACCCCCCGTCTCACTCACCTGACGGCAATCTCAGGGCTGTACAGCACAGCAGCCGTGCCTGTAAACACCACAAAAACCTCTCTTCTTCTCTCCCCCACTCCCCGTTCCTCACCTCCTCACCTGACAGCGATCTCAGGGCTGTAGAGGCTACAGCACAGCAACACCCAGTGGTACTCTTCCCTCTCCCACTCCTCCACCACCTCACCTGACTGCAATCTCAGGGCTGTAGAGCACAGCAGCAGTGCCTGTGAACACCACTCCCAGCCCCAGCGTCGTTAGCACCAGGCTCTGCTTCAGCTGCAGCAACAATTGCACGCGCGGAGAGGGAAAACGACAGACAGAGGCGATTTTTGAGTCGAATCTAAAAGATTCGTTAGCACTAGGCTGTGCTTCAGCTTTAGGGTTCAAGCCATTGTGTGTGCAGAAATGAAGAACGAGAGACAGAGCAAGGAGTCAAAGGAGGGGGGAACGGGGGTGTAGGGGGGGTGGGGGGACCAAGGGGGGGAAGGGGAGGAAGACATGATAGGGGTGTAAATGCGGATAGGGTTTGAAACGGTGAGAAGAGTAGGCAGGTGGTAGAAAGGGAGGGGCAGGTACGATAGAACATGTACGTGTGTGTGTAGGGAGCGGGGCGCGGCGAGGGAAGGGAAGGGAAGGAGGAGGGGGGGGGGGGGGGGGGGGGGGGGGGGGTGGGGGGGGTGTGCATGTGCGCGTGCGTGCGTGAGTGCATGGCGTGCGTGTGCGCGTGCTTGTGTGTGCTGATGCCAGAAGTGGGGGAGGTGAAGGAGTAATCAAAAGGTGCTGTGCGCTGAATCGACACAAGATAGCTCCAAACCCCCATCCCCCTAGCCCCAACCCCCTAGCCCTTCGCCCCAACCCCATAGCCCCTAGCCCCAACCCCCTAGCCTCTATCCCCTAGCCGCTATCCCAACGAGTCGAGTCAAGATCTGGTGTGTGTCACGTCACCTTACCTTCTCATACTGCTCTCTCTCCCGCTGTGCTATCTGCTCCGGGGTCATAGGCTCCTCTTTCTCCACGAAGGCCATCTGTTGCACACACACACAGCGGAGCAGCACCGACAGGGACGCGGCGGTGGGGGAAGAGGGGCGAGGGACGAGGGGGAGGGGGGACGAAGGGGGTGAGGTGAGAATCACGTTCTTGTTATAACAAGAGACATGGAGGTAGGGATGTGGTTTGGGAAATGTGGGAAGGCAAGTTGCAATGCTTGAAAGCCATATGTACGCAGAGCAGGGAGGGAGGGAGGAAAGAACGCAAAAACGGGAAAGAGCTACTGGGAGTTAGGGGTGAGGGAGAGTGTGGGTTGAGATGGAGAGCGTGGGAGACATGAAGAGGTTGGGGCGAGAAAGTAAAGAACCAGCAAGAAAAGAAAGCACAACCATCTGCGCAAGAGGTTGGGCGGCTTTGTGACTCACAACCATCTTGGCGCTCTTCCTGTTGGCCTCGGCCCACTGCCTCTCCTCCTTGGTGGTTGGGGCGTAGCGCCACTTGATCTTGCCCTCACTGCCCGCCTCATCCTTCTGCATGCATGGCAGACACACATGGCCACATCCATACATCCATGCATGGTCACATGCACGCATGCACACATGCACACATGGTCACATGCACACATGCACACATGCACACAAGCACGCACGGTCACATGCACGCACGGCACACATACACACATGCACACATGCACGCAAGCACACACAAGTACACACGCACATACACACACGCAGGCATGAGAGCAGAGGCAGAGACCAAGAAATGCACGCAGACATGGAGATACTCCCTTATCAACTTTCAAGGTGTAGTAATAATCACCACCACATTTTACCACTGCATCATTTCCACCATAGCTGCAGACTGCAGCAGTGGCCCTATACGGTCCTACCTTACCTCCCTCTCTTCGCCCCCTACCTACCTTCGCCCCTTCCTCTTCAAATTCTCGCCCCCTACCTGATTATCACTTCTCCCTCTCAATCCTTACCCGCCCCTGCCCCTGCCCACTTCCCCCTTCCGCCTGCCCCCTCTCCCCCCACCCCACCTGCATGCCTGCTGCGCGCCGGGCTGCAGCCACCTGCTTCTCGAGAGTGGCCTTGCTGGGGCGGCTCAGCTCCGCACTCAGGTCCACGTCCATGCTGTTGGGGGCATGCAAGGGGGGACCGGAGAGGGGAATGGGCGATGACAGGTGGTCGAGTGAAGATGGAAAGGAGGGCGGAAAGAGTGGGCTCTCCAGGGTGGCCTTGCTGGGGCGGCTCAGCTCCGCACTCAAGTCCACATCCATGCTGCCAGCCATGGGGGGGTGGGGAAATGGTGCAAACAAGGGCGGAGAGAAAGGCTTATCCACTAGCTGGGGCGGCTCAGCTCCGCACTCAGGTCCAGGACCATGCTGTGGTGTGGGCGATGCGAGGGAGGGGTGGGTGATGGGAGGAGGGGGGGAAAGGCGGTTGATCAGTGGTAGTCTGGTAGAGAAGGTTGGAGCGAGTGGCTTCTCTAGAGTGGCCTTGCTGGGGCGACTCAGCTCCGCACTCAGGTTCACGTCCATGCTGCTGAGTCGAGAGTGCACGCGAGCGCGGCGGAGAGAGAGGGAGGATTTCTTAATCGACTCAAACATCGCCTCGCATGGCTATTGTCACGCAAACGCGAATGCGAGGTGAGTGACTGACCTCCTGTCGAGGGCAAGCGAGCGCGGCGGAGCGAGAGAAATGTGGGCTGAACTGAACTGACTGACCTGTCGAGAGCAAGCGAGCGGCCGAGGGAGAGGAAGCCGTCAGAAGTGCCGGGGTCGTTGGAGGAGACGGCTGATGCTATGGGGTCCTCTGCTGCCGCCTGGAGTACGCACGCATGGGCGGGGGGGAAAACACGGGTTGGGGGAACGCACGCACGGGTGGGTTGGGGGGAGGGGGGGGGGGGGGGGGGGGTTGGAGGGGGAACGCACACACGGGTGGAAGGATCACACGGGTTAAGGGGAAGGTGTGAGGAGGAAGCAAGATACGGGCGAGGTAACCCGCCCAAATCTTCTTGATGGCGTTTTCTTCCTCGAAGAGAGTATCCTCAACTCACGGCGGCTGTCTTGTGCGAGGTTTCACGAGCTCAGGAATCAGAGGCTGTCTGTCTGTCTGCGAGCAAGGATGTTTACCCACACCACACCACGCCACACCACACCACGCCATACCACACCACACCACACCACACCACACCACACCACACCACACCACACCACACCACACCACACCACGCCGCACTACCTTATCCTTGTCAGCATCGTCCACCGTGACTGTTTTCTTCCACTCCGTGTTCCAAATATACTCGCCCGATTCCAACGGATCCTCCTTCTTCCCGCCCCACGATTGCCGAATCCGCTTGTCCAGCGGCGCGCCGCCGTACCGCCCCGGCGCGGGGACCTTCCCCGTGCTCGGCGGCTCCTGCGACGGCGGCGGCGGCGGCGGAGGCCGCGGCCGAAGGAAGAAGATGTTGGAGATCGGCGGGAGCGCGGAAGGGGAGGCCGCGCGCGGGGGTGGCGCTACCGCGCGAGGGCGGAGCGGAACGGAGGCGGAAAAGAACGCGCTCTTGTGCGCCGGAAGGGCGGCGGAGAGTCGATCCATGATGGTTCGGCGAAGAACCAACGAATGGTGGTTCAGTACTTCCCAGCAATAGGGGAATCAATAATGCGGAGGAGCAGGCAGCACACCACACGTTGCAGCTTTTGTTGGAGGCTGCAGCGAGTTAGATAGAGAGGTTCCGATGAGAGGAATGTCAAATAAATATCTGCCCAAGGTAAAGGTTCCGACAATGTGCACTTTGCTCGAGGGGACGTCGGCACACCGCACTGTACCATTCAGAAACACTAATATTAAGCATAGGACCGTGGTGAATCTCACAACTGAGCCAAGTTTTCGGGGACTGAAGTGCGTGACCAAGAATACCGCGGGGATCTGCTGCACTGTCGTTCGCTGTCAGTCGCCTACAAGGACGCTCGTTTCAAGGTTCAGCCTATCAGCGTCGAGGGGTTTGTCATGTGCCATGTGCAACCCAACGGCCATAAATGCTCCACACAAGCAGCTTGTAACCGCACGACAGTTCGAACTCTGGTTACTTGTGTCGAGAGGCATTTCGACAACGTTGGTTATTACAAGGGATGTGGATGAGACCAGCATGGCATGGACCAAACCCTAACCCTCCCTGCGATCCGGAAACACGACGACATCGCGTCGGGCGCAGTTTGTCAGACCTGGGGTCACTCCTCGAAACCTGAGGTCCCAGAGCAGGTATTTTTTCTTGACAGACGCAGGACCAGGACTTAATTAAGTACCGCGGTCCCTTTTGCAGTGTAACTGCGTTGTTTTAGCCAAGTCGTCGCCACCAGCTTGTCTTGTGCTTCGGAATCGAGTCAGGAGCCGATCCATCTCACCACAGCCGCCTTCTGCTGAGCCAACCCTCCCTCCCTCCCTCTCGACAGTTTTCTCTCGACATTGGGAGACTTGGTCACTTGCTCCCTCGAGAAGCGTCGTTCTTTCACCTTTTCTTAGCTTACGCATGCATTTTATATGCTTAGATTAGAGGCTTCTATATTTCTTTAGTTACAAATTTCATGTTTCATCGCGGTACTTTCTTTAGTTATTGCGTCCCGGAAATTCCCGCGTCGTGGCAACCGTGATATTATCCCGATCGGAAGTGATTTTTTTTTTTTGGGACTTCCACCTTGCCTGCAAAGCGTGACGAAGTTTTCTTAAGCCTCTAACTACTGTGCAAGTACGCTTTTCCGTCGATCTTTGCAGGAGCGCGAACGGGTGCGGCCCGGCATCTTTAGTAGCTGTTACCTTGAGCTTAAACTCTCTCCGCTTTCCATCTTAACGGATCTGCTCGCAGATTTCGCCATCCTCTGGTTTAAAAACACGTGGTATGCAGTGAGTGGTCATGCGGCCGTCGCCGGCAGCGCCTGCAGGCGACCCGCCACCATCGCGGCGAAGGGCGGCAGCGGCGGCCGCCGGCAATCTACCATCTGGCGGCGACCCCTCTCCGCAACCCCCCGGGTCAGGGGGAAGATCCCGCGGCGCGCGGCAGCAGTCGCGGCTGCAGGCGCGGCAGCAGCATGAGCACGGCTCACCGTCCCCGATAGAAGCCTCTCCGCTTGGATCAACCGGCGCAGTAGTAGATCTGACGGGCTCGGGGGGAACTACAGCTGCTGCTCGCGGCGCAGGAGCGGCGGTGTCCCCCTCCCCGGTCTCCGGGGAGGGCAGCGCGCGGAGGAAGCGGGGGAGGCGGGAGCTGGACGCGCTGCTTGGCGCTGGGGGAAAGGGTGGCGCGGACAGTCCCAGCCAAGGGGGGAGCCCGGACGTGGAAGGATGGGAGGGCCGGCGGAGCATGCGGCGTTTCAGCGGGGAAGGGGGAAGGGGAGGGGGGAGGACTGCAGAGAGGGGCGGAAGGGAGTTGGGTAGAGAGGGTGATATGGCGGCAGAGGGGAAAGCGGGGAAGGGGGCGGGGAAGGGTGACCGGAAGGAGAGTGAGGATGGGGGGGGAGGGGTGGAGAGCGAGGAGGAGAGGGAGGGTGAAGGGGAGGCGTGGGCATTGAGGGGGGCAGGTAGAGGAGCTATTGGCAGGGGAACAAGGGGAAGGGGTAGAGGTGGGAAAGGAGGGGCTGTGGGGACGAGAGGAGGAACCGGGCGGGGGGTAGGAGGGATGAGAGGGAGGGGCCGAGGCAGCGCGAGAGGGAGGGGACGATGGGGACGAAGAGGGGCAGAGGGGCGCGGAAGAGGTGAGGGGAGGGGAGTGAAAGAGGTAGAAGAAGAGGAAGAAAAGGAAGAGGAGGAAGAGAAGGATGAGGAGGAGAAGGAGGAAGAAGAGGAGGAGGAAGAAGAAGAGAAGGTGGAGGAGGAGGAAGAGGAGGAGGAGGAGGAGGAGGAGGAGGAGGAGGAGGAGGAGGAGGAGGAGGAGGAGGAGGAGGAGGAGGAGGAGGAGGAGGAGGAGGGAGGGGTGGACGGGGGAGAAGGGGGTGTGGATTTGTTAGGGAGTGAAGGAGGAGACGACGATGGGGACGAAGGGCGTGTGGGGAACGAGAGGATGACGAGGAGAAGAGGGAAGTTGAAGGGTAAGGGCGTGCTGCAGGCTGGGGGGGTGAAGGAGGTGATATTGGGGGGGGATAAAGGAGGGAGTGCGGAGGAGAAAGAGGGTAGAGAGGGTGAGAAAGAGGAACGGGCGGAAGAAGATAAGAGTAAGAAAGAAAAGCAGGAGGGTCGGGGAAATGGGGGGCGTGTTGAGGAAGGCGCCGAGAGGGGAGAGAAGAGTAGTGAGGGTTTGAGTGCTCAGGATTTGTTGTTAAGAAAGAAAGGAAACGGCGCCAGAATCAGTGTGTGTGTGACAGTTGAGGGGCAGAGGGAGAGAGAGGAGCAGAAAGAGAGAGAGGGGCATAAAGAGAGAGAGGTGCAAAAAGAGAGAGAGGACCAGAAAGAAAGAGAGGGGCAGAAAAAGAGAGAGGGGCAGAAAGAGAGAGAAAGGCAGAGAGAAAGAGAGGGACAGAAAGATTGGGAGGAACAGGGGGGAACGGAGGGGCAGCGAGGGAGGGAGGTGAAGGGAGTGAGGGGACAGGGGAAGGCAGGAGGAAACAGGCAAAGGGTGGGCACGCATGCGAAGTTGGAAGGAGCTGAACGTGAGGGGCAGGGTAAGAAGAGAGAAAGTGCAGTTTTTGAGTCGACTAAAGAATCACATACGAGCTTGAATGCAGCGGGACGTGAGGGGCCGGGTAAGGAGAGAGAGAGTGTGGAGCGTGGTTCAATGAGTGAGGGAGATGTGTGCGAGGTGGTTGCTGCTGGGAGAGAAGATGGTGGGACTGGTGGCGCGAATGGCGAGAGCGAGAGAGCAGGTGGAGGCGAGTGTGAGAGAGACGGTGAGGGTGAGGGTGCAAGTGAGGTTGGGGTTGGGAGGACAGGAAAGGATACTGTTGGGGTTGTTGAGATACAGGGAAGTGCAGAGCGGGTGAGAAAGGCAGGAGGAAGGTTGAGAGGTGAGGAAGAGGTAAAAGAAGGTGGGGTGAGTGTGGAGGGTGGAGTTAGTGTGGAGGCTGGTTTGGATGATCTGAGGGGGGGTAGGTTGAGGATGCGCAGATGGAGTGAGGTGGTGGGGGAGGGTGGTTGGGGTGGTGGAAGGAGGGATGTGAGGGGGGAGAGAGGCCGGGAGAGGAGAGTGCGGGGGAGGGAGCGAGGAGCGAGAGGGAAGAGTGCAGGGCGGTGGGGCGCAAGGGTGGTGCGTCCTCAGCGGCGGGTGGGGAAAGAGAAGGTGAGAGAGAAGGACAGGGTGGGGGAAGGGGAGGGAGACGAGGAAGGAAGTGAAGGGCAGGATGAGGAGGACGTGTGGTTGATTCCGAGTGGAGAGGAAGAGGGAGGGGAGGTTGGTGCAGATGATGAGGAAGAGGAGAAAGAGAAGGAGGAGGAGGAGGTGGAGGAGGAGGAAGTGGTTGAGAGGGCAGGGAAGGAGCAGAGGAGCAGAGGAAGACGAGGTGGGGATGAGACAGCAGAGGAGGAGGAAGATGTGGAGGAGGTAACTCCGGTGAAGAGTGGTGGGGAGGAGGATGTAGAGGAGGAAGAGGAAGAGGCAGGAATGCGTGAGGATGATGGGAGGGAGAGTGCAAGCAGGTGGAGGGGCAGGGAGAAGAGGAGGACGAGAGGGAGAGAGGAAGGTGTGAGGCGGGGAGGCAAGTCAAAGGCAGTTGGTGAAGCGTCAGGAGAAGAGGATGTGGTGGAAGCTAGGGAGCAGCAGCAGCAGCAGCAGCAGCAGCAGCAGCCGCAGCAGCAGCAGCTGCAGCCGCAGCTGCAGCCGCAGCCGCAGCCGCAGCCGCAGGAGAGGGGTATGGGTGTGGTAGAGAGGAAGATGAAGGGGTTTGAGGGGCGCGTGGGGATGAAGAGGAGTGGGACGAGGAGTCAGACTGGTGGCAGCAGGCGTGGTGTGCCTGCTGCTGCTCCCGCTGCTGCTGCTGCTGCTACTGCTGCCGGTGATGATGGTGATGCTGCTGGTGAGGGTGATGGTGATGGTGATAGTGTTGATGTTGATGCTGCTGCTGATGGTGATGGTGCTGCCACTGCTGGTGGTGGCGGTGGTGGCGGTGGCGGTGGCGGTGGCGGTGGCGGTGGTGGTGGCGGTGGTGGTGCTTCTGTTAGCGATTATCAAGCCTTTCGTAAAGCTGGAGCAACAACAACAGCAACAGCAGCAGAAGCAGTAGCAGCGTCAGCAGCAGCAGCTGCCGCTGCTGTTACTGCTGTTACTGCTACAGGCATGGAGCAGGCAGCTGGCAAAACTGGTAGAGGCAGGGGTAGGGGCAGAGGCAGGTGGAGGGGGAGGGGCAGGTGGGCAAGGGGAGAAGTGCAGAGGGGGAGAGCATCAGAAGTGGGGGAACGTGGGGAAGGAGAAGTGGAAGAGGAGGGGAAGGTGGAGGCAGGAAGAGCAGGTGAGATGTCAGGAGGTGAAATTGAAGTGAGGGTGATGAGTGAGGGTGGAGAGGCGGGAGAGGGGAGGGGTGTGGTGGGCGGCAGTGGTGGGCGGGTTGGTGAGGTGGTGCAGGAAGTGAGTGTAGATGTCGATATGGTTCCTGAGGACAGGACGGGAACAGAGGGAGGAGCAGGAGAATTGAGAGATTTGGGAGTATCGAGGGCGATTGGAGGGGGGAGGAGGGGAAGGGGCGGGATGAGAGGCACGAGAGCGACGGGAGAGACGGGAGGGATGGGAGGGACTGGAGAGGCGGGAGGCGGTCTGTTGCATGTGATACAGAAGCCAAGCGATGTGGTGATGGGACAGACAGGGATTGAGGCATGCAGAGGTGAGGAGAAGGGAGAAGGTGCAGAGGAGAAGGGAGAAGCTAAAGAGGAGAAAGGAGTGCAGGGGAGGACGGGGTCAGGAGAAGGTATGAGAGAGAACGAGGATGACAGAGCGGGGGAGAAGGGAGAAGGGAGAGTGGCAAGGGGAGGTGCGGAGGCGGAGTTTGAAGGGCAGATACAGCGAGGTCGGGCAGAGGGGAGGGGAGGAGGTAGGAGAGGAATGAGAGGGAGGGGGTTTGGGAGAAGGGAGGGAACTGGGTTGGGGAGGGAGGGATTGAGGAGTGGAAGAGAAGAAGACGGAGGAGAAGAGGAAGAAGAAGAGGAGGCAAGCGTACAGGGGAAGGATGGGAAGGATGAGATGGCTGTAGGAGAGGGGGTTGCTGGGAACGATAGTGACTTGGAGGATCAGGAAGGGGCAGGAGATGAGGTGGAGATGGGGGAGGTGAGAGAAGCGGACAGAGGAGGGGTTGATGGGGTGGAAAATGGTGATTTTGTTCTTGGTGATTCGGGAATGGGGGATGTGAAAGGGGATATGGAGCGAGAGAGGTTGATGGGTGCACAGGCAGCAGCAGGGAGAGGGGTGGAAGGTGGAGGAGAGGGGGGAAGGGATGGGGGGCTAGGAAAGGGGCTTATGAGCGTGAGCTGGCAGCAGGCTCAGGCGCTGCTGCTAACGCAAGACACAGCAGCTGCAGATGACGAGGGGGAGGAGGGCGAGGGAGAGGCGGGAGAGGGAGAGGGGGAAGGGGAGGAGGGGGTTGAAGAGGAGGGAAGGAAGGAGGAGAAGCACGAGGAGGCGGCAGATGCAGGAGGGGGAGGAGAAGGAGAAGGAAGAGTAGGGAGAGGAGGAGAAGGTGGGGATTCAGCTGGGGGCGTATTGGACGGGAGAGCAGGGCGTGGGTGGGGACGAGGAGGGAGAGGAGGAGGGCGGGAGGGGATGAGAACGGCAGGTGGGGGGGGAGGGGGCGGTGGAACGCCTGGGAGGGGACAGGGACGGGGAAAGAGTGAGCAAGGGCTTATGGAACGAGGAGGGGTTGGAGTGAGATTGAGGAGAGTGGAGCATGGGGGAGGGCATGGGAATGAGGTGAAGGAGGAAGCGGATGGGGAGGAGAAGGAGGGGGAGAGGGTGGTGAATCGGCTTAGGCCCAGGCGGTCTGCTGTGGTGGTGGTGGAAGGCAGGAGGAAGCAGGAGGGTGGGTCTGCTCACGGTGCTGCAACGGGTGCTGCTCGTGGTGATTGTAAGGAGGGAGTGGGTTCGCCTTTCGCTGCTGCTCAAGCTGCTCTTCGTGCGGCTACTGGTGCTGCTGCTGCTGCTGCTGCTGCTGCTGGTGTTGCTGTGGGGAGCGCTGGTGCAGTGGACGAGGGAGTGAGGCAAGGGGCGGGTGGAGTGGAGGGTGTGTTGAGGCAGCTGCAGCTGCTGCGGCAGGAGAGGGAGCTGTCTCCTGTTGTGGAGGAGTTGGAAGATGAGCAGTACTGGGAGTGGTGGGGGGGCGCGGAGGGAGAGGAGGATGAATGGGACGAGGAAGGAGAGGTGGGCGAGGAGGGCGAGGAGGGCGAGGAGGGAGAGGAGGGAGAGGAGCGAGAGGAGGGAGTGGAGGGAAGCAAAGGAGGAGAGATCAGCAGAGGAGAGGGAGGAAGGGAGGGAGGAGATGAGGAGGACGAAAGGAAGGAGGGGAAGTTGATGGAGGGAAGGAGGGTGGAGGTGGAGGAGGGAGAGAGTGGGAGGAAGAATGTAGTGGGTAAGGGGGTGAAGAACCGGGGAGTGACAAGCAGTATCAGACTGGTTAGTGGGTATGACTATCACCGTGGGGGGGAGGTGGAAAGAGAGGGGAAAGGGGATGGAGGGCGGGGGAAGAAGAAAGGCGGGGCTAAGGCTAAGGCTAAGGCGAGAAAGACTCTGAGTGCAGCAAGGAAGGCGCAGAAGAGGGGGAAAGGGGGAAGGTTCGTGAAGATGGGGGAGGGGGTCGGCGCGGGTGGTTCGAGTGGGAGGAGTGGAAGGGAGGGTGGTTCTGAGGAGGATGGAATGGGTGTGTGTGGGTTTGGAGAGGGGAGGAGCCGTGGCCGGAGGGGTAGGAGGGAGGAGGAGATTGAGGATGGTGGTGTGGTGGCTCTGTATGGTGATGCTGATGATGGTGATCGTGGGGATGGTGGTGATGGTGATGATACAAGTGATGATGGGAGCGATGACGTTGTGATGGAAGGAGGTTCGAAAGCAGAGAGTATGGATGTTGAGGAGGTGAGCAAGGGGGGAGACGAGGAGGAGGAAGGCGCAGAGGAAGAGGATGAGGATGAGGAGGATGAAGACGAGGAGGATGAGGATGAGGAGGAGGAAGAAGAAGAGGAATCTGAGGAGGATGATGATGACGCGGTGCCGCAGAGGGAGGAGACTGAGGAGGAGAGGCAGCGACGACTGGAGCAAGAGGATTCAATGCTGCTCAGATACCTGCAAGTGAAGGACGCACGGGAGGTGGGTGAGAGGGAAAGGGAGGAGTGTTGTTGATTTGAGTCAATCAAGTCACTTGACGTTTGAGTTGAGTCGATTCCAAGAAATGCTTGTGTTGAATCGACTGAAATGCAAGAGGAGAGGACTCAGTGCTGCTCAGATACCTGCAAGTCAAAGATGCACAGGAGGTGGGTGGGTGGGTGGGTGGGTGTGAAAGAGGGAGACTTGACGAAGCTGACACTGCTGCTGAAATCAGTTGCAACAAACGAAGCTATGTCTCGTCTCATCTCATCTCATCTTTTGAGATGTCTCAAAACTCGATCTATGTGACTATGTCTCATCTCATCTTATCCCAACTCGCCCTGTGTCCCCCTCTTTCTCCCCTCTCTTCCTGCCATCCCCCTTCTCAAATGTTGCCCCCCTTGTCTTGTCCGCCATTCCCCCTGTTTCTCCCCCCCCCCCTTTTCCCCCACGCTTTCCTGCTCTCTCCCCCTCTTGCCCCTCTCCGGGCCTTCTTCTCCCCCCTGCTCCCCTCCGCACCCCCCGCTTCCCCCCGCTCCCCCCCTCTCCTGCCTTCTACCTCCCCCTGTACCTGCAGCGGCGGCGCAAGGCAGGTATAAATCGGCGGGTGCCGAAGCAGCAGCAGGAGCCGGTGCAGGCACGGGCGCACTGGGATGCTCTATTGGACGAGATGGCCTGGCTGTCCAAGGTGGGGTTTGCTTAGGGTACAAGACAAGGGGACGTGTTGTTGGACTGGCGGGAAGGGGGAAGAAGGGTGGGAGGGGGAAAAGAGCCGGTGCAGGCACGGGCGCACTGGGATGCTCTATTGGACGAGATGGCATGGCTGTCCAAGGTGGGGGGCGAAGGGGGAATGGGGAAGGGGGAAAGGGGGAGGGGGAAGGGGGGAGGGGGAAAGGGAAAGGGGGAAAGGGGAAGGTGTCAAATTGAAGTGTCTGACTGCATTCCTATGGAAGTGCTCGGATTGATCTGGATTCTGGATGAACATGGCTGGTTGGTATGGCTACAAGCACATGGCATGACATGGGATGGATGACATGAGATGACATGAGATGACATGACGAGAATTCTCCCCCCTTGCCCCCCTTCCCTTGGGTGCCGGCAGGACTTTGACAAGGAGCGGCGGTGGAAGGCGGGGCAGGCGAGGAAGACTTGTGTGCGCAGCCCTTGATATCCGCTCAATCCCACTCACCCCCCTCAACCCACATCCACCCCACTCTCTGCGTGCCAACAGGACTTTGACAAGGAGCGGCGGTGGAAGGCGGGGCAGGCGAGGAAGACGGGTGTGCGGGTGTGCCGGGCCAGAAATGACCTGGAGCTACGCGGAGAGAAGAAGCTCAAGGTGAGTGTGCTTTCACGTTGTGCGTGGGTGGGTGCGTGCGTGCGTACACGCACGGGTGTGCCGGGCCAGAACGGAGGGAGAAGAAACTCAAGGTGTGCAACTTTTGAGGGGCCTGAAAAATGGTTCTGACTTGAGTCGACGCTTGAGGCGCCGCAAAAGACGGGTGTGCGGGTCGGCTCGGCGGGTGTGCCGGGCCAGAACGAACCTGGAGAGCTGCGAGGGGAGAAGAGAAGAAGCTCAAGGTGAGTGAGCTTTCAGACGTTTGGAGACGTTTTGTGTGCGCGCGTGCGTGCATGCATGTTGGCTTGGGCCAGACCGGACCTAGTTCTGCGAGCGCTGTTTGAGTTGAGGAGGCGTGAATGGCGACGGTTATTTATCGAGGCACCGAAGGATGGAGGTGAAGGTGGAGGTTGGCGAGGGCGAGCTCTCAGAGAGTCAGAGCTGCTTGCAGTTGAGTGGAGTGAACTGGACTATCAGGCAGAGGGTCTGTTTTCTGTTCTTCAACAGCTTGCATTGCAAGCAACGGAGGGATGGAACGGAAGATCTGTTGTGGACCGATGAAGAGGAGGAAGAGGAGGAAGAGGAGGAAGAGGAGGCAGTCAGGTCAGCGTGAGCGAGGGAGGGGACGAGCGAGACGAGATGAGTTTGTTCCTAGATCTTTCCTTCAAAACTTGTCGCACCCGCCTCTCCCCCTGTGCACAAACACCTGATGTCTCATCTCGTGGATGGCATGAGTTCTGAACCTGTTTGTTCTTCCTTCTCCCCTGCGCCCTTTGCACGTTTCCCCCCTGTGAACGAACATCGGAACATGTACATACACCCAACCCAATGGCTCGTGGGTGGCAGGAGGAGGAGCAGCGAGTGCGGCGGGTGGCGAGCGGTATAGCCAAGGAGGTGAAGCGGTTCTGGATGAAGATTGAGAAGCTGGTGAGTGCCTTGCTGCCGTGTCCTATCGCATCCATACCATTCTTTTCCGTGACATGTCATGCCATGCTTTTCCGTGACATGTCATGCCATGCTTTTCCGTGACATGTCATGCCATGGAATTCCAAAAATATCATTTTCTTTTGTGCGTGGTTTCCCCCTCCTTGCTGTGTGCATCGTGTGCGCTGTGTGCATCGTGTGCGCTGTGTGCATCGTGTGCGCTGTGTGCATCGTGTGCATCGTGTGCATCGTGTGCATCGTGTGCATCGTGTGCATCGTGTGCATCGTGTGCATCGTGTGCATCGTGTGCATCGTGTGCATCGTGTGCATCGTGTGCATCGTGTGCATCGTGTGCATCGTGTGCATCGTGTGCATCGTGTGCATCGTGTGCATCGTGTGCATCGTGTGCATCGTGTGCATCGTGTGCATCGTGTGCATCGTGTGCATCGTGTGCATCGTGTGCATCGTGTGCATCGTGTGCATCGTGTGCATCGTGTGCATCGTGTGCATCGTGTGCATCGTGTGCATCGTGTGCATCGTGTGCATCGTGTGCATCGTGTGCATCGTGTGCATCGTGTGCATCGTGTGCATCGTGTGCATCGTGTGCATCGTGTGCATCGTGTGCATCGTGTGCATCGTGTGCATCGTGTGCATCGTGTGCATCGTGTGCATCGTGTGCATCGTGTGCATCGTGTGCATCGTGTGCATCGTGTGCATCGTGTGCATCGTGTGCATCGTGTGCATCGTGTGCATCGTGTGCATCGTGTGCATCGTGTGCATCGTGTGCATCGTGTGCATCGTGTGCATCGTGTGCATCGTGTGCATCGTGTGCATCGTGTGCATCGTGTGCATCGTGTGCATCGTGTGCATCGTGTGCATCGTGTGCATCGTGTGCATCGTGTGCATCGTGTGCATCGTGTGCATCGTGTGCATCGTGTGCATCGTGTGCATCGTGTGCATCGTGTGCATCGTGTGCATCGTGTGCATCGTGTGGCATCGTGTGCATCGTGTGCATCGTGTGCATCGTGTGCATCGTGTGCATCGTGTGCATCGTGTGCATCGTGTGCATCGTGTGCATCGTGTGCATCGTGTGCATCGTGTGCATCGTGTGCATCGTGTGCATCGTGTGCATCGTGTGCATCGTGTGCATCGTGTGCATCGTGTGCATCGTGTGCATCGTGTGCATCGTGTGCATCGTGTGCATCGTGTGCATCGTGTGCATCGTGTGCATCGTGTGCATCGTGTGCATCGTGTGCATCGTGTGCATCGTGTGCATCGTGTGCATCGTGTGCATCGTGTGCATCGTGTGCATCGTGTGCATCGTGTGCATCGTGTGCATCGTGTGCATCGTGTGCATCGTGTGCATCGTGTGCATCGTGTGCATCGTGTGCATCGTGTGCATCGTGTGCATCGTGTGCATCGTGTGCATCGTGTGCATCGTGTGCATCGTGTGCATCGTGTGCATCGTGTGCATCGTGTGCATCGTGTGCATCGTGTGCATCGTGTGCATCGTGTGCATCGTGTGCATCGTGTGCATCGTGTGCATCGTGTGCATCGTGTGCATCGTGTGCATCGTGTGCATCGTGTGCATCGTGTGCATCGTGTGCATCGTGTGCATCGTGTGCATCGTGTGCATCGTGTGCATCGTGTGCATCGTGTGCATCGTGTGCATCGTGTGCATCGTGTGCATCGTGTGCATCGTGTGCATCGTGTGCATCGTGTGCATCGTGTGCATCGTGTGCATCGTGTGCATCGTGTGCATCGTGTGCATCGTGTGCATCGTGTGCATCGTGTGCGTTCCATGTGTTTCCTTTCCTTGCATGCATGGCCAGGTGGTGTACAAGCACGAGCTGCAGGTAGAGGAGAAGAAGAAGAAGGCCCTGGATAAACACCTGGACTTTCTCCTGGGGCAGACTGAGAGGTACTGCGCACGCGCATGGGTGGGTGGGTGTGTGCATGGGTGCGTGTATGGGTGCGTGTATGGGTGCGTGTATGGGTGCGTGTATGGGTGCGTGTATGGGTGCGTGTATGGGTGCGTGTATGGGTGCGTGTATGGGTGCGTGTATGGGTGCGTGTATGGGTGCGTGTATGGGTGCGTGTATGGGTGCGTGTATGAGTGCGTGTATGGGTGCGTGTATGGGTGCGTGTATGGGTGCATGGGTTCAGTCCATGCGGGTGCAGCATGTGGGTAATTGGGTGGACGTGCATGGGCTTGGGCATGAGCATGGGAATGGGAGTATGGGCGCGATTGGTAGCTTATACTCGTACTTGATGCTGTGAGAGAGGCATGGGTAGAGAGAGGCATGGTGAGAGGTGCATGGTGAGAGAGAGGTACATGGCAGTGTGTGATTTCCTTTTGCCCTTGGTAACCATCTGTTGAGTCAGCTCAAGCGTCGTTCCTGTGCTTCTTTCTTCCCTTTGAGTCGTCTCACAACGTCGTTCAACTATTGGGTGTGCTGTGCCTGTGCCTGTGGCGGTGGCTGTTGCTGTGCCTGTGCCTGTGCCTGTGCCTGCTGTGCCTGTGCCTGTGCCCTCCGCTCATTTTTGCAGGTATTCCTCTCTTCTAGCCGAGAACCTTGCTGCTGACAACGAGGAGGGAGAGGAGAGAGAGGAGGGGGAGGTGGGGGAGGAGGGGGAAGAAGGGGAGGAGGGGGAGGAGGGAGAGGAAGATATGGAAGGAGTAGAGGTTGAGGAGGGAGGCGAGAGTGATGTGGAGGGAGATGCAGGGGAGGGGCACGAGGGAGGGGAAGAAGAGGAGGAAGAAGAAGAATTGGAGGAGGTGGAGGAAGAGGGGGAAGAGGAGGAAGTGGAGGGAGAGGAGGGAGAGGAGGACGAGGTGGAGGAGTGGGAAGAGGTAGAGGAGGGTGAAGTGGGAGAGGAGGGAGAGGAGGAAGAGGAAGGTGGGGCAGTGGGTGCGGATGCAGAGCGGGATGAGGAGGTGGAAGAGGAGGCAGGGGAGGATGAGGATTTTAGAGGGGGGAGTGATGAGGAGATGGAGGAGCAGCGCCGGCAGGTGAGAGTAGAGGACCTCTCACACCACCCACCACCACCACCACCACCACCACCACCACCACCACCACCACCACCACCACCACCACCACCACCACCACCACCACCACCACCACCACCACCACCACCACCACCACCACCACCACCACCACCACCACCACCACCACCACCACCACCACCACCACCACCACCACCACCACCACGCCTCCTTCTCCCACCACCCCCCCTCCTTCACCAGGAGTATGAAAGGAAGACGCAGGAGGAGGCAGAAGTCAGCCCAGACATACACGTACACCGTCCCTCACTCACACTCCCTTACCCCCAACTTCCCACCCAACCCCCCTCCCTCCCAATGACCAGGAGGAGTACGAGCGGGAGATGATGCAGGAGGAGGAGGAGGTGGGCGAGGAGGAGAGGGAGGCGGAGCTAGCAGCGCTGGCAGACGAGATGGACCAACCCCTGGACCGCATTCTGGCGACATACCAACGTGAGTTACCCCACCCCACTGCACTGCTCAAAATATGGGACCTGTCAAGGCTAGCAGCGCTGGCAGACGAGATGGACCAACCCCTGGACCACATTCTGGCTGCTTACCAACGTGAGCTCTCAGATCAGATCACTACATTTAGGCATCTCAAAACTTGACGTCTCAGAATCTGAGACGTCTCAAAACAGCTAGCAGCGCTGGCAGACGAGATGGACCAGCCTCTGGAGCACATTCTGGCTGCTTACCAACGTGAGTGACCTTGACCCCACTGCACCACTGCTCACTGCTGTTTGACGTGAGTGACCCCACAGCCCAGCCCACTCCACACCCCCTTTTTGAGGCGCCTCAAAAGCCACTCCACTCCTCCTTTTGGGAGCTCTCAAGAACCACTCAGATTCAGCATTTAAGAGATGGACCAGCCCCTGGACCGCATTCTGGCCGCCTACCAACGTGAGTGAGCCCACCGCATTGCTTAGCGGACTGCTGCTTGTAGACGTTCCAAAGCTCTTCATTCCAACATTTGAATTGTCCCAAAACTAGCAGCGCTGGCAGAGGAGATGGACCAGCGGCGGCCATCCCCGCCCCTGCTGGACCGCATTCTCTGGCCGGCCGCCCAGCCTACCAACCATCCAACGCGAGAGCTTAGCTCACTCCACTGCTCACTCCACTGCTCACTCCACTGCTCACTCCACTGCTCACTGCTGTTGAGCGTTTCAATCCAAACCTTGATAACTCCTATGTTGAGACGTCTCAAGATTAGACGTGCTGGTGAAGCAGCGCCTGGACTGGACCGCATTCTGGCCGCCTCGTGAGGCTTAGTGCCAGCGCCAGTGCCAGTGTCAAGGCTGGTCCACGCCAAGGCTGGTCTTTGATGCCGTGTGTGTGTACTCGCTCTACTCTAACCTAACCTACCTTGACCGTTGAACCAAGAGTGTTGAGACTTCTCAAGCCTCATCCACTGGAGTGGTGGAGTAACTTCAACTCTACTCTATACGCGTCCCTCCCTGTCTGAATGTTCTTGCCCAAAGTTTTCCTTGAGCTTTTCCTTTCTGCTTGTTCTTTGCCCATTCTTTGCTTGATGTAACGACAGAGAATGGGCCCCTGCCGACAGAAGCTCCAGAACTGCCACTAGCAGCGGCAGCAGCAGGGGGAGCGGAGGAGGATGAGGCAAGAGGAGAAGAAGAGGGAGAGGAGTCTCGTGCTGATGCTGCATTGGGTGCACGCGAGGGGAAAATAGCACCAGGAGCGGAAGAGAAAGGCACAGCAGAGGACGCAGTAGCAGGAGGGGCGGAAAGCAAGGGAAGCGCGGCAGCAACAGGGGCACAGAAATCGCTGCATGTGCTTCCTGCACTAACACCTGAAGCACCAGCAACAGTTTCAGCCGCGTCACCACCACCACCACCACCACCAGTGGCGGCGGCGGCGGCAGCAGCGGCAGTAGCAGCACGGGGGGATTTGGCAGTGCCGCCGCTGGTCCCTGCTGCTGCTGACGATGATGACTATAACCCGTTGGAAGAGGGGCAGGTGAGGCCTCTGGTATGGTTGGGTTAGTGAGGGAAAGGAGAGTGTGAGAGGTGGGCATGCAATGCGGTGCTGTACAAGCCGGGAGATGTGCATTAAGAAGGTGAAAGGTGGAAGGTGGGGATGGATGTCATGCGGTTCAGTGAGGCAAGTTAACGTGAAGCGAGAGGTGTGTTGAGAAGTAGGAGGGGTAGGTAGCAGCAGCAGTGGTGAGTGTCTGTCTGTCCTGAAATGAATAGCGGCCAGTGAGAGGGGAAAGGAAGGCGTGGTGTGGAAGGGTGGGGGGGTTAGGAGGAGTGAAGGGGATGAGGGGGGGAGGGGGGTGCATTCTGAAGATCAGATATAGTTTGCGGGGTCTGGCATAACCTAACCACTGCTGCCATACCTGCTTCCGCACCTGGTGCTGTACCTGCTGTTGTTCTACCCTTTCCATACGTACCTTGCCACGCTCTTTGACATAATTTATCCAACAGTCCTTTCTCCATATGTATCTGTCAACTCCATTCCATAATTTCTCTCTCGCATCTGTCATTTCCCATACCCTCATGCTTCCAACCAAACCTTGCCACGTGGCAGGAGGAGGAAGATGACGAGGCAACACTGGAAGAGGAGGAGAGGCTAAGAGGGGAGGAGGACGGCCGAGGGGCAGACGAAGAGGTAAGCTGCTTGGCGTAGCATATTTTCCTCTTGCACCTTTGCATTGTAGGTCCCCCATTGTCGCTTTGATTGGTGGTCACTCCAACTTCTCACTGTGACCATACCCTTCCCGCCCGAATCCAAACGCTACCCAGTACGAAGGAAGCCCTTCAAGTAACCGGCCAACTGTGTTACCACAAAAATTTATGTTTTTGAGTTGGCAGCAGAAAACATATGTTGAGATGTTTTGGAGACTTCGTCACATGCTGAGACCCCTGTATCCATTGCTACTGTACTGTTCTGCGTTCCTCCTCCTGCTGTCTATGTGCATTCCCTCCGTCCCCGTTACACGCGCTGCCGTCTTCGAGCTATTGAATCGCAGGACACGTCTGATTGACTCTTGTTGCGCCACTTGTTTGTTTGTTTGTATGCCATGCCATGCCACCACCACCACGCCAGGTGAACGAGCTGCAGGGTGAGAGTGAATTGCCTCTGGAGGAGATTCTGCGGCGGTACAAACAGGTATGTGCAATGCTGTGCCAGTTGTGATTCTCTAGGTAATTGTTCATTGCTGTGAAACGAAAACAAAGCCCCACCCACGAGCCACGCCTCTCATTGTGTAGATTGGATTGGATTGGATTGGATTGGATTTTACCAGAACAGACCTACAACTCGCTTGTGGTGCTCTGCACTAGTATAGCAGCGAATACTATAGCGCATGCATGCATGGGCTTTCAAGCTTCAACCTCTGCTGTGCTGTGTTCTGTGGGTGGTTGCTGCTGATGCAGATGAAAGGAGGAGAGGACAGCGAGGAGGGGGAGCAGGACGAGGAGGAAGAGGAATACGAGGAAGAAGAGGAGGACGAGGAAGAGGAACAGGGGGAAGAGGAGGAAGAGGAGGAGAAGGAAGTGGAGGACGAGGAGGATTCAGAGGAAGGAAAGGGAGACGGGCCAGAGGAGTCACATGAGTTGATGGGGAACGGGGTGAAGGAGGAGCATGAGCAACAGCATGGAAGGAAGAGGAAACACCCAGCCGGTGAGAGTGCAGGAGAGGAAGGAGGAGAGGAAGGAGGAAAGGGAAGTGATGGAAAACGTGATGAGGTTTTGATGGAGAACCTGGAAGGGAGGAGCAACGATGCAGAGAGAGGGAGGAAACATGAAGATTCCAGAAAAGAGCAAAAGGTGAAGGAGGAAGCAGGGGTGGGGAGGGAGGGGGGGATGGAAGCGGGTGTGGAGAAGGGAGTTGAGGCTGTGAGTGGTGCTGAGGGGAAGGAGGAAGTGGAGAGAAAGCAGGAAAGAGTTGCAGTGAATGCAGAGGGAAGAGGAGACGTGGTTATGGTGCGAGGGGATGGGGGTGGGGGTGGGGGTGGGGGTGGGGGTGGGGAAGCAGGGGAGGAGGGTCGCAAGAGAAGAAAGGTGAGCTTCGCAGTGGGGGTGGAGGAAAAAGAAGGGGGGAGTGTGCTGGCGGAAGGATTGGGAAAGGCAGAGCAGGTGGGGGGGGAGAGTGGGGGGGGAGAGGGTGTTGGGGAGGTGGGGGGGAGCATTGCAGCAGAGGCGGAAGGGAAGGAGGAAGAGGAGAAGGAGGAAGAGGAGAAGGAGGAAGAGGTTGGGCGTAAAGAGCATGGGGTGGGAAAAGGGAAGGAAGCGGAGGAGGAAGGGGGAGAAGAGGGGGAGGGAGAGGAAGGGGAGGAGGAGGACGACGACGACGAAGCGGATGCAGGGGAGGAGGCGGAGCGCAGGCGCAAGGGAAAGGGGAAGGGGAAAGCGAGTGAGGAGGAGCAGTGGAGGGACGCAGCAGCCGCTGCAAGCGCAGCACAGCCCACCGGCCACACCATGTCCACAACCAAAGTCAAAACCAAGGTCCCATTCCTGCTCAAGCTCCCCCTCCGCGAGTACCAACACATCGGCCTCGACTGGCTGGTAACCCTGTACGAGAAGAAGCTCAACGGGATTCTCGCGGACGAAATGGGGCTGGGGAAGACGATCATGGCGATTGCACTCCTGGCGTATCTAGCTTGTGAAAAAGGCCAGTGGGGCCCGCATTTAGTCGTTGTGCCGACGTCGGTGATGCTCAACTGGCACATGGAGCTCATGAAATGGTGCCCTGCGTTCAAAGTCCTCACGTACTTCGGGTCCGCGAAAGAACGCAAGGCGAAGCGGCAGGGGTGGAGCAAGCCCAACTCGTTCCACGTGTGCATCACCACGTACCGGCTTGTTGTCCAAGACGCGAAGGCTTTCCGGCGGAAGAAATGGCGGTATCTGATTCTCGACGAGGCGCATCTGATCAAGAACTGGCGCTCGCAGCGCTGGCAGACTCTGCTGAATTTTAATGCGAAGCGCAGGATTCTGATCACGGGCACGCCGCTGCAGAATGATTTGATGGAGCTGTGGGCGCTCATGCATTTCCTCATGCCTCATGTGTTCCAGTCGCATGCCGAGTTCAAGGACTGGTTCTGTAATCCCATTACGGGGATTGTGGAGGGAGGGGGGGCGGGCGGAGCGGCAGGAGGGGCAGCCCAGGGGTCGGCCGCAGGGGAGGCAGGAGGTACGGCGGCTGGTGCTGCTGCTGCTGGCGGTACTGTGGTTGCAGCATCAGCAGGAACAACAGCCGGAGCAGCAGCAGGAGGAGCGGCGGCGGCAGGAGCAGCGGCAGACACAGGCATGGCAGGGAACCCTGAGGTGATCGACCGATTACACAACGTGCTGCGGCCATTCCTTCTCCGCCGTCTCAAATGCGACGTGGAGCGATCCCTCCCTCCAAAGTACGAGCACGTGGTCACATGCCGGCTCTCCCGGCGCCAGCGGCAGCTATATGAAGAGTTCATGGCTCGCTCTGACACGCAGGCGACTCTGGCGAGCGGGAATTTCCTCGGGTTGATCAATGTGCTGATGCAGCTGCGGAAGGTGTGTAATCACCCGGATTTGTTCGAGGGCCGGCCGATTGTGTCGTCGTTTGATATGAGCCCGCCGCTCGTGCTGCCGCTGCCGTCGCTGGTGGTGGGGGTGGGTGCGGGGGGGGGTGGGGTCGGGAGGGCGATGCTTGGGGCTGCTGCGCTGGGGGCGAGAGGAGGGGGGGAGAGGTGGGGGGTGGTGGATAGCTGGTGGGTGCGCGGGGAGGGAATGGGAAGGAGGAGTGTGCAGGACTGGACAGGGTGGGATGGTGCAGAGGAGGAGGAGCAAGAGGAGGAGAGAGAGGAAGACGAGGAGGAAGAGGTGGATGGGGTATTTGAAATTGGGAGGGAAAGGAAGAGGAGGAGTCTGGGTTTTGGGAAACGGAGTGGAAGAGGGGAAGGTAGGAGGTGGAGGGGATGGGGGAGTCTGGGGTCCGGGCAGTGGAGGGGAGGAGGAGGAGCAGTGGGATATGAAGACTTGAAGTGTTTGGGTTTGGTGCGGACGGTTTGGGATAGGAGTATGGCCATGTGGGAAGCGGAGGAGGTAGAGAGGCTCGCTGCTCCTCCTGTTCTTATCGAGGAGATTGGGATGAGGACGGTGAGGAGGGAAGAGGAGGAGGAGATGGAGCAGGACGAGGAGGATATGACAACGCTGCTGATAGCAGCTGCGGGTGAGGAGGATGGCGAAGAGGGAGAGGAGGAGGAGGATGAGGAAGAGGAGGAAGGGGAGGTGCGAAGTGGGGACGACGAAGAGGAGGATGGAGGGGACAGTATAGGGAGTGACGACGAGAGGGAGAGTGGGGATGAGATGGAGATTGACGGAGGAAGGCGGCGGCATGGAGAAGGAGGGGATGGTGGTAATGCAGGGAAGAACCGTAAAAAGAGGAGCTTGAAATCTGGAGGACAAAGGGAGGGAGGACACAGGGAGGGCAAGGGCCGGAAAGGGACAGGCAGCAGCAGAAGCAGTCGAAAGGGCAGCAGTGGTGGTGGTAACGAGGACGGGGGGAGGGCGGGGAAAGGAAGAGGGAGGGTGCGAAAGCTGATGGGGTTACTAGAAGAAGTACAAGCACGGGTGCAGGCGAGGAAGAGGCAGTGGCAGAAAGAAGCCCTTGCTCTCACCGCTGCTCTCAGCTTCGCCCGCTGCCGCCACCAACGACCTGTGTTCGGCACAGATGCTATCAGCCTGCTCTCTCTCCCGCACCCCACCCGCCACGCCCATGCTCTGGCTGCTAACCCTAATTCTGCTCTCTCCCTGCCGTCCTGTCTCACTCGATACTCCTCCCTGCTCACCCGCCCTCTCGTTACACTCGTCTCGCCTCTCGAACCTTCCGGGAGCGGTCCAGGTGAAGGGGGGGGAACGCAGGACCTGTTGCAGCCACAACCGCCAGCATCCACCCACCACCCCTCCCCTTCCACACCCTCCTCCTCCGAGTCACTCCTCTCCCCTTCAACCTCCCAACGCACACCGCCACTCATCGTCTCCCCTCTCCAGCGATGCGAGGATCTAACCACCACAATCTCCACGTTCGTATTCGCCATCCCGCCGGCCCGTGCCGTGCCCCCCTCCTTCACCTGCTCCCACACCCTCCCGTGGCTCGAAACCTCCCGGGCGCGAACCGAGCAGAATCTAGACCGTTCCCTCCGCCCGCTCCTCTCCCCGCTCCGCACGGCTTTCATACGCCAGCAACTCTTCTTCCCCGATCGACGCCTCATCCAATTCGACTGCGGGAAACTGCAGGAGCTCGCGGTTCTCCTGCGGAGGTTGAAGCTTGGAGGGCATCGGACCCTCATCTTCACCCAAATGACCCGCATGCTGGACGTTCTAGAAGCGTTTCTGGCATTACACGGGCACACGTACATGAGACTGGACGGGTCGACGGGCCCGGAGCAGCGGCAGATTCTGATGCAGCGGTTCAACACGGACCCGAAGATATTCGCGTTTATTCTGTCCACGCGGTCGGGTGGTGTGGGGATCAACCTGGTGGGAGCTGACTCGGTGATCTTCTATGACAGTGACTGGAACCCGGCCATGGACCAGCAGGCACAGGTGCGTGTGTGTGTATGTATGGCACATGGTGCATGCACTGATTGAGTTTGCTCTCACGATTTGCCTCAAGTATAGGTTGCGGTCAGGTATGAATAACCTGGTCCTGGTGGGAGCTGACTTGGTGATCTTCTATGACAGCGACTGGAACCCGGCCATGGACCAGCAGGCACAGGTGCGGTGCGGCCCATGTGATGCAATGCCATACATGCTGCAGCGAGTTTGTTCTCATGATGATTTGCCTCAAGTACAAGGTGGGTCAAGTATTATCAACCTGGTGGGAGCTGACACTCTGAGTGATCTTCTATGACAGTGACTGGAACCCGGCAATGGACCAGCAGGCACAGGTGCGTGCGTGCGTCATTCTGTATGGGCATGCGTGCATATGGCATGGCATGGCACGATGCAGTGAGTTTGCTCCCATGAGGTGCCTTGAGTACAGGGTTCGTGCGCTCAAGAGTTATCAACCTGGTGGGAGCTGACACTCTGAGTGATCTTCTATGACAGGGACTGGAACCCGGCAATGGACCAGCAGGCACAGGTGCGTGAATGCATGCGTTGGCAGAGTCTGTTTTCTAGGCGCCTTATAGAGAATGAGTGGCCTATCCATGGTGAGTGACCGAAATCCTTTCGGCCATGCAGCAGCAGCAGCAGGAGGAGGAGGAGGCACAGGACCACAGGTGCACGTGCTGGTGGAGTCACTGGAGTGGAGTGTGACGTGACGTGTATATCATATCATAATCACATCTTAATGTGGCGCCTCAAACCTGAAAACTCTCCCCCTGCCCCTGCCCCCTCCCCTCTCCCCCTCTCCCCTACCCCCCTCTTCCCGACCGCATCCATCCAGGATCGGTGCCACCGCATAGGGCAAACGCGGGACGTGCACATATACCGGCTTATAACGGAGAGCACAATAGAGGAGAACATTCTGAAGAAGGCGAACCAGAAGCGGCTGTTGGACGACCTGGTGATTCAGAGCGGTGGATACACGACTGACTTCTTTAAAAAGGTTGATCCCATGGAGCTATTAGGAGGCATTCCCACTCCTGCTGCTGCTGGTGCTGCTGCTTCCGGTGCCGGTGCTGGTGGTGCTGGTGCTGGTGGTGCTGGTGCTGCGGCTGGTGCTGGTGGTGGTGCTGCTGCTGCTGTCGCTTCTTCTAGTGCTGCTTCTGCTGCTTCTGCTGCTGCTCCTTCGCCCGCACTGAGAGATATGGAGGCAGCACTGAGGGATGTGGAGGATGAGGCGGATGTGCTGGCAAGGAGGCAGGAGGAGGAGGAGGCAGCTGCTGAAATGAGAGAGTTTGCAGATGAAGGACCGGTGGGGGGGGTTGGGGAGGAGGAGGAGATGGAGGAGGAAGGGGACGGGGAAGGCGAGAAAGAGGGGGGTAAGGGGGAGGGGGAGAGGGATGTGGGTGATGAGGAGCGGGTGGATGGCGGTGTGGGGGTGGGTGGAGGGGGAGCAGAGGCGATGGGGAAGGAGGGTGAGAAGGAACGGAAGGAAGGAGTAGAGGTTAAACCTGGAGTGGAGGAGGCAGCAGCAGGAGCAGAAGCAGCAGGAGGAGGAGGAGAAGGAGTAGGAGGGGGGGGGGGGGAGGAGGAGGAGGAGGGGAGGGAGGAGCAGGAGCGGTAGAGGAAGGTGCGAAGGAAGTAAAGGAGTGGGAAGGGTTGGGCGCAGCAGGGATGGCGTTGGGAGAGGAGGAGGAGGAGATGGATATGATAGCGGACGTGAGGCAGATGGCAGCAGCTGCTGCAGCAGCAGGCACGCAGGGCAGCAACTTTGGCAGTCAGTTACAGCCCATTGAAAGGTACGTGCTTGGTCACTCGCTGGATTCTTCTGAGTTGCCCTTGTTACAGCCGAGTTGATTCTTAAGTTGCCGTTTCTGTGTGCTCACCTCACTCAACTCGGCTTTTGACAGTCAACTGAGGCTCCCCAACCCCTGCTCCTCATCCCCTGTCCCCCACACCCTGTTCCTCATCCCGCATCCCCCACCTTCGGCCCCAACCCCCATCATCCCCCCACCCCTCTCATGTATGCCAAGCAGGACCCAGTGGTGGGCAAGAAGGACGTGGCTAGGCTAGTATTGCTGCCTTTTGCTCTACTCTACCCCAGACTCTGTTGTCTCTCTCCTTCTTGCATAAACTTACTCCACACGCTCCCTCCCACCCTCCCCCACCTGCAGGTACGCGATGCGGTTCTACGAGCTGTGGGACCCGGTGGTGGACAAGCAGGACGTGGCTAGCACTCCAGCCCACTGCAACAAAGCCTAGTACTGTTTTCTCTTCCTTGCGTAAACCTATCCACTCCACTCCCACCCACCCCACCCTCCCCCACCTGCAGGTACGCGATGCGGTTCTACGAGCTGTGGGACCCGGTGGTGGACAAGCAGGAGGTGGCTAGTGCCCCCGCCTGCTGTACCGTACCCCACCCCGCTGTACCGAAGCCTAGTGCTGTGAATATATCCACAATTCCCCTCCCCACCCCCCACCCCCCCAGGTACGCAATGCGGTTCTACGAGCTGTGGGACCCGGTGGTGGACAAGCAGGAGGTGGAGAGCGAGGAGGAGGAGGTGCAGGAGGAGGAGTGGGAGCTGGAGCAGCTGCAGCGACTGAAGGAGGAGCAGGAGGCGGAGATGGATGACGATGAGGAGCCGCTGCAGTACTCTGGTGGGTGGGGCTGGGGTGGAAAGGGCTTGGATAAACGAAGGGCAATGCACACGCGCAATGCTTTACATGGGTTTGGCCTGGGTTGCAAGTATCTGTGGTGGGGTGAAAGTGCTTCTAAGGTGCCTCAGAAGGGCATATGTTGGGCCGCTAGTTTGTGAGGTAGGTGGAAGTGCTTTTGAGTGGGAGCTGGGGCAGCTGCAGCGGCTGAAGGAGGAGCAGGAGGCGGAGATGGACGATGACGAGGAGCCGCTGCAGTACTCTGGTGGGTGGGGCTGGGGTGGAAAGGGCTGGGTGGGCTGTGGTTGGAAGAGCTGGGGTGGGGGAAAGGGGACTGTTGGTTCAAGGGTTGGGGGGGAGGGGGTAGAGGAGCCGCTGCAGTACTCTGGTGGGTTGGGATGCAAGGGAGGGGGTGGTAAGGGTTGGGGTGGGAAGATCTCGGGTGGGGAGTGGGGGAAGGAAAGGGGTGGGAGAGAGGGGAATAGCGTGGGGTGGAAGCGATTGGGGTAAGGGAAGGGTGAAATTGAGGGGGCGGAAGGGAGGGGGGAGTTGGAACGGAGGGGGTGGAAGGGAGGGGGTGGAACTTGGATGCGTACCCACTGCAGTGCACACATTTTTGTATGTGTACCGTCTATCATTCTTGGATGCGCTAGCATCTGTCCTGCAAGCGCGTTTGGGTCACTTTTGAGGATTCTTAAATACCGTGTTGCTCTCCTCCTTTTTCTCTCCCTCCCAATGTTCCGTCATGCGTTTCGATGTCCTCTGTACCCTCCAGTGGTTTGTCTGTGTTTTGTTTGTTTGTTGTGTATATATACAAGCGTACGTAGAAACTGAGCTGAATGAATCCGTGGTCTTTGTGGGTTCAGCAGTTTCTCTCGCTCTATGTATGCCCAATGTAGATTTTTTCTGGCAACAGTTAATTTCAACTCAGATTATACTTCTCTCCCCTGTTGTCCGTTTTCTTCTCCTCTCTGCCTGCCCTCTCCCCCCCCCCCCCCGCCTACTCTCCTCCTCCTTCCTGGCCTCACCCTAACCACCAGTTTGGGACGTAGAGAATGCAGATGAAGCATATCGGCAGCAAGTGGAAGCACTGTCACACCAGCAGGTACGCCTTCCCTGCACATGCATGTGCATACGCACATGCACACACCCACATTCATACGCACATGCACATACACACATTCATACGCACATGCACACACACACATTCATACGCATATGCACGCACACACACACACACATGCACACGCACATGGACACATGCACACACACATGCACACACACGTGCACACGCACACAACGCGCACACATGTGCACACATGCACATGCACACACACACAAATACATTCACATCACACACACGCACGCACGCACGCACGCACGCACGCACGCACGCACGCACGCACGCACGCATGCACCTGCATATGTGCACGCACATGCACCGGTCCACATGTGCGCGCCAATAAGCATCCATTCTTCCATCCACAGCCGTTCGTCGTCACAGCTCTCCGATCAATTTGAACCTTCTCAATTCCTCTCTCCCTCTCTCCCCTCAAGATCCCTCTCCTCTCTCCTGGCGATCCTTCCTTACTCCTCTCTCCTCACAATCTCTCTCCTCTCTCCTCCTCACGATTCTTTCTTTACTCCTTTCTTAAAGAGCACGTCCCATGAGGAGAGCACAACCCATGAGGAGAGCACAAACCATGAGGAGAGCACAAACCATGAGGAGAGCACATCCCATGAGGAGAGCACAAACCATGAGGAGAGCACATCCCATGAGGAGAGCACAAACCATGAGGAGAGCACATCCCATGAGGAGAGCACAAACCATGAGGAGAGCACATCCCATGAGGAGAGCACAAACCATGAGGAGAGCACATCCCATGAGGAGAGCACATCCCATGAGGAGAGCACATCCCATGAGGAGAGCACAAACCATGAGGAGAGCACATCCTTGAAGAGAGCACATCCCTTGAGGAGAGCACAGCCCATGAGGGGCATGAGGAGGAGGACAGCATCTTTGTCAACAGCAGCACTAGTGAGGAGCACACAGCTCATGAGAGGCGTGAGGAGGAGGACAGCATCTTTGTCAACAGCAGCACTAGTGAGGAGCACACAGTCCTCCTCATGCCCCTCATGGGCTGTGTGCTCCTCACTAGTGCTGCTGTTGACAAAGATACTGTCTTCCTCCTCATGTCCCTCATAGGTTGTGTGCTCCTCACTGGTGCTGCTGTTGACAAAGATGCTGTCTTTCTCCTCATGCCCCTCATTGGTTGTGTGCTCCTCACTGGTGCTGCTGTTGACAAAGATACTGTCTTCCTCCTCATGTCCCTCATAGGTTGTGTGCTCCTCACTGGTGCTGCTGTTGACAAAGATGCTGTCTTTCTCCTCATGCCCCTCATTGGTTGTGTGCTCCTCACTGGTGCTGCTGTTGACAAAGATACTGTCTTCCTCCTCATGTCCCTCATAGGTTGTGTGCTCCTCACTGGTGCTGCTGTTGACAAAGATGCTGTCTTTCTCCTCATGCCCCTCATTGGTTGTGTGCTCCTCACTGGTGCTGCTGTTGACAAAGATACTGTCTTCCTCCTCATGTCCCTCATAGGTTGTGTGCTCCTCACTGGTGCTGCTGTTGACAAAGATGCTGTCTTTCTCCTCATGCCCCTCATTGGTTGTGTGCTCCTCACTAGTGCTGCTGTTGACAAAGATGATGTCTTCTTTCTCATGTCCCTCATAGGTTGTGTGCTCCTCACTGGTGCTGCTGTTGACAAAGGTGTTGTCCTCCTCGTCATGCCCCTCATAGGTTGTGTGCTCCTCACTGGTGCTGCTGTTGACAAAGATGCTGTCTTTCTCCTCATGCCCCTCATTGGTTGTGTGCTCCTCACTGGTGCTGCTGTTGACAAAGATACTGTCTTCCTCCTCATGTCCCTCATAGGTTGTGTGCTCCTCACTGGTGCTGCTGTTGACAAAGATGCTGTCTTTCTCCTCATGCCCCTCATTGGTTGTGTGCTCCTCACTGGTGCTGCTGTTGACAAAGATACTGTCTTCCTCCTCATGTCCCTCATAGGTTGTGTGCTCCTCACTGGTGCTGCTGTTGACAAAGATGCTGTCTTTCTCCTCATGCCCCTCATTGGTTGTGTGCTCCTCACTAGTGCTGCTGTTGACAAAGATGATGTCTTCTTTCTCATGTCCCTCATAGGTTGTGTGCTCCTCACTGGTGCTGCTGTTGACAAAGGTGTTGTCCTCCTCGTCATGCCCCTCATGGGTTGTGCTCTACTCGTAGGCTCCTCATCTCCCCTCCTCACGATCCCTTCCTTTTTCCTCTCTCCTCACTCTCCTCATCTCCCCTCCTCACGATCCCTTCCTTTTTCCTCTCTCCTCACTCTCCTCATCTCCCCTCCTCACGATCCCTCTCTCCATTCTACCCCCTGAATCACTCGTCCCACACAGGAGGTACTGCGGCAGCAGGAGTGGGAGGAGTGGGAGAGGCAGGTGGCTGCTGCAGAGGTGCAAACAGAGGTTGTTGCGAGGAAGAGGAGGAGGAAGGAGGAGAGGGAGGCGAGAAGAAGAAAAGGGCGCTGGCCGTCTTTGGACGGCAGGAGGCTTGGGGTGGGGATGCTGGAAGGAATTGGTGAAGAGGGGGAGGAAGAGGAGGGGGAGATATTGGAGCTTGAGGGTGGGGAAGGAGAGGAGGACGAGGGAGTGAGTGAGGAGGACGAGGAAACGGAGGAGGAAAGCAGCGAGGAGGGTGAGGAAGAAGGGGAGGGTGGAGCAGAGAGAAGGGCGGTGCGTATGCGAGCACGCGAGGAGAGGAGCCTAAGGAAGAGGCAGAGGAAGGCAGAGAGAGAGGTGGAGCGAGGAGCGATGGTACCACTCAGGGTTCCATCAGGGAGAATGAGGCGGTTGCCTCGGCTGCTGGAGGAAGAAATACTAGCGGAGCTGCACTTAAAGAGGATAAAGAGGAGTAAGGTTAAGGCTCCAGGGGAGTGGCGTGGCGACGGTGAAAGGAGGGTGGGCTTTAGAGAAGAAGATGGGAGGAGTGGAGGGAGCGAGGAGGAGGAGAGCGAGGAGGAGGGAGAGGAGGAGGAAGGGGAGGAGGACCGACGGGAGGAGAGGGGAGGAGAGGGTGGAGCAGAGGCAGGGAAGGGCAAGGGTGAAAAGCAGGCGAAAGGCAAGGCTGTGGAGAAGGCAAGGAGGAGAGAAGAGGCGCGGTTGGTGCGGTGGAGAGAGAGGCAGATGCGTATGGGGCGCATTGTTATACAGCCGAAGGACCTGTGGGAGGATCCCAGACTGCCTCTTGTCATTCGCCTACCGCCGCCGCTCTCTGCTTCTTCATCTGCTCTTTCCATTGGACTGCCTCTATATGGTGGTTCTTTTGCTACTCCCTATGCTGTTCTTTATGGTGGTCCCTATCTTTCTGCAGCTTCAGCAGCAGTGTCACTACCACCACAGGAACCACCACAACAACCACCAGCAGCAGCAGCATCAGCAGCCGAGCCGACTCGCATCCCTCTCGTCGCAATCACCCGCACCATCCCAACCCCCCTTCTACCCTGGCAACCCCACGAAGACGCCACTCTAATAGCAGCACTATCCCAATACGGCACCAGCAGCTGGCCTCTAATCACTCACATTCTCTCATCTCTCCCGGACGGGACAGCCAGGCAGAGGGGTGCTGTGAGGGGCGTGTGGGAGTGCATGCAACGATTGTTCTCGCTTTTAGATGCCCTGAGCTGGTGGCAGGGGTTGGGGCCGAGGGGGACGCGTGGGGGGATGGTGGAGTTGCTGAGGGGAGGAGGGGCGTGGAGGGACGGGGGTGAGTTGGATGGAGGAGGGGAGAGGGAGGTGTGGAGTGGTGGAGAGGGGTGGAGAAGTGTGGTGCAACAGGGGAAGGCAAAGGATGTTTTGGTGCCCAAGGTGGGTGTGTTGTGACGGCGTGTGTCGCAGTTACTTTCGGTCGTTGATGGCATGCGTGCATGCATCTGTGCATGTCTGCATGTGTGCATGCATGCATGCTTACTTGCGTGCATGTGTGCATGCATGAATGCGTCCATGTGTGCATGTCTGCATGTGTGCATGCGTGCATGCTTGCACTGCATGTGTGCATGTTGGCAAGTGTGCAGCGCATGTGCATATGTGTACATGTGTGCGCGCATGTGCATGCATGTGTATGCATACATGCATGCACTCGCATCGCATCGCACGTGCCATGTGCATGTGTCTGCACCTCATGTGGATAGGTGCGTTTGTCTTTGTCCATGTCCTTCATGAAGGGGAGCGTGCATCTGCTATCGCACGCTCCCCTTCATCTTCTCCCACCGTTACCATTTCTCTTCCATCCTCTTTCCCCCCTCTGACCTTCTTCTCCCTTTTCCCCTTCTGGGCACCCCCTTCCCTTGTTTCCCTTCCCCTTTCCCCATGAACCCCCCTCACACCCCCTCCAGTCTCAACTGTCGCAACTCTCGCTCCTCCTCGGCCCTCTTCCCGACCACAGCTCTCAGCAACCCTCCCGAGCAGCAGCCTTCATTGCCCGCTTTTACACCCAGCCCACTGCAACCTCTCCTCTCCCCACACTCATTCCCTCCACATCCCCACACGCAACAATACGGGAGGGAACCAGAGAACAGGGTACAGTTACTGCAGCTGCTGCAGGTGCAGCAGGGGCGGGCGGGAAGGAGCAGAAAGCAGCAGGTGAAGGGACAGCAGCAGGAGGAGTGCCTTTGCAATCGCTCCAGCCGCAGCCTCTCTCCCCCTCTCCCACCTCGACTGCTCCCTCCTCTTCCTCTTCTCTATTGTTCGTCTCTCTCGGCCCTGTGGTTTTGGATAGTGGTGGTAGTGGGAGTTCTTCTGAGTGGGATGAGTGGGGAGACAGGAATGAGGCGAAGGGGAGGGAGAATGAGGGCAGAACGGGAGGTATAGAACCTGATTTGAGGGTCGGGTTCGCTGCAGGAGGAGGGGTCGAGGTAGGGGAAGGGGGAGAGGGACGGGGAGGGGGAGAAGGAGGGGGAGGGGAGGATCAGGGTGCTCTTACAGTTCGTAGGCACGTGTCACTTCACGATAGGCTGCTGCAGAGGCTAGTGCGGTCAGGAGCGGTGGTGATGGGGAATGAAGGAGCTGCAGGAAAGGCAGCGGAGGATGCAAGGAGAGTGATGGATAGAGTGTGGGAGGAGCAGAAGGAGGAGAAGGAGCAGGAGAGGGAGAGGCGGGAAAAGGAGAGGGTAATGAGGAAGAGGAGGAGAGAGGAGGAGGTATGGGAGGGGCAGGGATGGAGGAGGAGAGAAGCTGGGAGGGGAGAGGTTGGGGTTAGGGATGGGGATGGGGATGTGGATATGATGGGGGATGATGATTATTCGGTGCAGAACGGGCAGAATATGAGTGTTGATTTCAACTTCATGGCGTTCTTGTCTCTGGATGATGTAGAGGGTCCTGCCGAATCCGGTGCTGGTTCTGATGCTGATTTCAGTGCTGGTGCTGGTGCTGCTGGTGCTGGTGCTGCTGGTGCTGGTGCTGCTGGTGCTGGTGCTGCTGGTGCTGGTGCTGACGCTGATGCTGACGCTGATGGTGGTGCCAATGGTGGTGATTCTGATACTGATTCTGGACATAGTGCTGCTGCTGGGCTTATCAGTGATGCACTGGACTCATGCCAACCCCCATGGTATGTGATGCGTGTGTGTGAGTGTGCTATGTGCATGCCTCACTTGGTGGAGTACAGTGCGGTGCAATCCGGTCCTCACTCGCTCACTCACTGTGTGTAGTAAACAACACACAGAGCACATTAGGCATGAGCAAGCAAGGGGCTTATCAGGGATACAATGGACTCATGTCACCCCGCATGGTATTTATACGTGCATCTGTGTATGCGTCACTTAATGTATCTCCCCTCTTCCCACATCCTTCTTCCTACATCCTTCTTCCCTTGCCCTTCTGCCATATAGATAGAGCTACCACTCCATATGTGTCTATTTTCTGTGTTCACGACTCTACTTATAGACTTGCCATATGTTCCTTTCCCCCCATTATAACCTCCTTGCATTGCACGCTCTACCCTTCTCTCATTGCCCTCCTGCCCCCCACCCGTCCACTCCCCTTCTCCCCACCTGCCTGTCATCCCAGGTTCCTCTCCCCATCCCACCTCACGCTCTGGGCGAGCTCTGCTCTTGCAGTCGAGCTGCCTTCCGTGCTTCCCCCCCCATCCCTGATCACAAGCTTTCCCCTTGCCTCATGCACCCCAACCCCCCCACTTTCTCTCCCCATCTGCCTGTCATCCCAGGTTCCTCTCCCCATCCCACCTCACGCTCTGGGCGAGCTCTGCTCTTGCAGTCGAGCTGCCTTCCGTGCTTCCCCCCCCATCCCTGATCACAAGCTTTCCCCTTGCCTCATGCACCCCAACCCCCCCACTTTCTCTCCCCATCTGCCTGTCATCCCAGGTTCCTCGCCCCATCCCATCTCTCGCTCTGGGCGAGCTCTGCTCTTGCAGTCGAGCTGCCCGCCATGCTTTCTTCTTTCTCATGCCCCTCCAATCCCCCTGCCCCACCTGCCTGTCATCCCAGGTTCCTCGCTCCATCCCATCTCTCGCTCTGGGCGAGCTCTGCTCTTGCAGTCGAGCTGCCTTCCGTGCTTCTTCTCCCCGACTCCCAGCCTGCACCACCCATCCTCCCTACTTCGTCCGAAGCAAAAGAACCTCAGGCCTCCCAGGGAGAGGGGCAGCAGGTGCAACAGCAGCAAGCACCTCCCACAACCGCCAACACCACCACCGCCACTGCCACTGCCCTCCGCCACGCCTCCACCGCAGCCCACAAGCCCACCTTGCTCGCCCTCCCCGCTTTCTCCGCCCCCGCTGCTGCATCCCCTTCCCCTTCCCCATCCCCTTCACCACATCCCATCCGCGCCTCCTCCCCTCTTGACCCAACGGCACCATTACATGGCGCTGTGTCTACCCCAAGCACCCGTAGCATTGACCCTGAGGAGGTAGAATCAGGGAGCGAGAAGGAGGGAGGGGCCGAGCCTGAGGCTGTGCTGGGATCTCCGGCCGCTGCGGCTGCTGCTGCGGCTGATGCTGCCATTGGTGGTGGTGGTGCTTCTTTTGCGAAGGATATTCTGCGCTTGTCGTCTCCATCGCTCCCCGGTCAAACCTTGGGTCCAGTAAAGCAAGGGCTGCTAGGCAAGCAGCAACAGCGCCAGCAGCAGCTTCACCAGCAGCAGCTGCTGCAGCGGCAACAGCAGCAGATCCGGGCACAGCAACAGAAGCAGCAGCAGCAGGTGCAGCAGCAGGGGCAGCAACAACAGCAGGCAGCGCAGCAGCAGCAGCAGCAGGTGCGTGGGAGGGGCAGGCCCCCTACACGGCCTCAGGATGTTGGGGTTCGGTTGAACCAGCTGCAGCAGAGAGGCGCACAGGCAGCAGCAGCAGTGGGAGCAGTGGGCGCAGCAGCAATGGGAGCAGCGGCAGTGGGAGCAGCAAGAGGAAGTGAGAGCACGGGCGGAGCAGCAGCAGGGAGAGGCTCGGAATACAGCAGCCCGCTTTCATCTGCTGCTGATGATGCTGATGAGGGGTTGCCTCTCTCACAGTACCACCACCCGCAACAGCAGCAGCAGCAGCAGCAGCAGCAGTTTCGAAAGCAGCAGCCCTTCCCGTCCATTAGGCCCCCCTCTTCGCCAACTCCTCCCCATGCATCTGTGCCTTCTTCCTTAGCAGCAGGAGCAATCGAAACAGCAGGAGCAGCAGCAGCAGCGGGAGGGAGAGGGGGAGGGGGAGGTAGGGGTTCGAAGGGAGCAGGAAGAGGCGTGGGGAGAGGAGCCGGCAAGGCAAGGGGTGGGCTGGGAGAGGAAGGGCCTAGAATTGCAGGGGTTACTGGGGGAGGTGGGGGCGGAGGCATGGGGGGAGTGGGAATGGGGAGAGGTGTGGGGCGGTTAGTGGAGGGAGGAGTAGGTGGGGAGGCAGGAGGAGGGGCAGGCAGAGGAGTGGCGCGAGGAGGGGGGCGGGGAGGAAGAGGTGAGGGGAGAGGAGTGGGGCGGGGAGTGGGACGAGGAGGGCGAGGAGAGGGACGAGGCACACCAGGGAGAGGGAGTGTGGGGGGAGGGGACATGGCAACTTCTCTAGGGGCTGCTGCTGCTGCTGCTGCAGACAGTGCGAGAGGGAGGGCAGGAGGGGCAGAGGGGATTGCAGGCAGAGCTTTTGAGCAGAGGAGTGAGGGAGACGAGAGAATGGCCGTTTCTGTAACAACAACAGCAGCCGCTGCTCCTGCTGCAATGGGTGCTGCGAGTGCTGCTGCTGGTGTTGCTGTTGGGGCTGGTGGGTTTGTTGGCGCAACTGGTAGTGGTCTTGGCAATACAGCATTAGGTGGAGCGATGGGGGGTACTGTCCCATATCCAGGTAGGGGGAGAGGAAGCACTGTGGGAGGAGCAGCAACAGCAGGAGCAGCAGGGGCAGCAGGGGCAGCAGGTGGGGAAGGAAGGGGCGGGAGAGGACGTGGGGGAAGGGGCGGAGGCAGAGGGGTCGTGGGGAGAGGCAGGGAGGGAGTGGGGAGAGGCAGGGCAGGGGCCGGTAGGGGCAGAGGAGGAGTGGGTGTGGGTGCGAGAGGGTCGGGGGGTATGGGAGTGGCACGGGCACCTGTGGCAGACTTGAATGCAAGTCCGCCTGATGCTGCTTTGGATGTGGAGCAGAATATGCAGCCACAGATGCAGCAGCAGCAGCAGCAGCAGCAACAGCAGCAGCAAAGGAGTGAGCAGCAAGGAGGGGCAGGAGGAGGGGAGCCAGGGAATCAATCCCAGCAAGGCCAGCAGATCCAGCAGGGAGGAGTGAGCAGGCTATGGTTGGTGGAATCGGGAGGGAGCGCTGACGACAAGAACGACAGCAACAGCCTTACCACCACCACCACCACCGCCACTACCAACGAGAACATCAGCGGTGGCACTGGTGGCATTGGCGGTAACAGCAGCCACCACCAGGCAGGGATGGAGCTGGACCTGAATTGGGCAGCAGCAGACGATCCTGTCAGGGAAGGCATGAGAGGTAATGGGGCTGAAGCAGCAGCAGCAGCAGCAGCAGCACCATCTGCGTCCCGCCATCCTCTTGAGATGGACCTAAACCTTCCAGCTGATGCTGACACTCCCGCTCCTCTTCCTCCTCTACCTCTCACCACTCCAGCCCCACCAGCAGCAGCAGCGGCCTCAGCCGCTTTCCAACCCTCTGCACCTCTTCTCCACCCGCCCAAACCCCGGGACCCGCGCCGATTCGCCCGCCTTGCCAACACTGCCACTGTTCCTGCATCAGGGCCTGCAACAGCTGCACCGGCTGGAGAAATAAAGAGCGGAGCAGCCCTACGACTACCCCTCTCCTCCCCCTCCTCTTCTCTCCCCCTTGCACCTGCTGCCATGCTTCCCTCCCGCCCTTCCCAGTCCTCCCACCCATCCCAGTCCTCCGCTCCAGCCCACGCCTCTCAGCCCCAGCTTGCAGGGTTGGGGGCGCGTTTGGGGGCTGTTATGGCCGCTACGGGAATCGGCGGGGGAGCACAAGGGGCCGGGGGGGCACAGGGGGGTGGGGAGGCGAGGGGGGTTGGGAGAGCAGAGATCAGGGGTCCTCCTGGGAATACGATGGCGGGAAATACCGGTAGTGGTGGTGGTGGTGGTGCCAGTGGTGGTGGGAGTGGTGGTGGTAGTGGCAGCGGGGGTGGCAGTGGTACTGCTGTCCCCAGGCTACTCTCTTTACCATCAGCTCTGTTTCGAATGGCACCTACTGCTGGTTCTGGTATGCCTGAAGGGGTGGGTGGAGGGCGAGGAGGCGGAGGAGGTGGGGGAAGAGGAGGAGGTGGAGGGAGAGGAGGAGCAGCAGGAGGAGGGCCAATGCAGAGGGCTGCTGGTGTAGGTGGGCAACAAGGCTCAACTCCTCAGGTGGCCCTTCAGGTGTCCCCAGGGACACTTCAAATGCCTCAGGTGGGCCTTCAGATGCCTCAGGTGGGATTTCAGGGTGCTCAGGTGCCAGCTCGGAGTTCAGTGGGTGTGCCTTTGCAGGCCTCAGGGCAGCAGCAGCAGCAGCAGAAGCAGAGTGGAGGGGGGTACGGTGGGAGTGGGTCTGGTCGTGGGGAGGGAGGGAGAGGGCGAGGTGGGAGGGGAGGGAGGGGAGGGAGAGGAGGGAGAGGGAGAGCGATAGGTTATTCTCAGCAACGACAACAACAAGACACCCAGCAGCAGCAACCGCACCAACAGCAACAGCACATGCAGCAACAGCAACAGCAAATGCAGCAACAGCAACAACAAATGCAGCAACAGCAACAGCAGCAGCAGCAGCAACGTATGCCGCAGCAGCAGCAGCAGCAGGTGCAACAGCAACAGCGACAACAGCAACAGCAGCAGCACCATCAGCAACAGCAGCAGCAGCAGCAACCACTCCAGCGACAGCCACAGCATCAGCAGCCAAACCCCTCAGGCCAGCACATGCCAACTCCCAACCCTCACAACACATTGCAACCAGGACTGCCCCACTCCTACCCACCACCACTTCCATCATACCACCAACCTAGCCTCGCACCATCCCAACCTGCGCGCTTCTCCCAACCCTCAACCTCGCCCGAACCTCAGCTCCTGGGCAGTTCTTTGCCGAACCAGCCTTTGCCGAACCAGTCTTTGCCGAACCAGTTGCTGCAGCAACCAGCACAGCGCCTGGCACAGCACAGCAGCCAGCAATTTCAGGGACCGCAGCAGCACCCCCACGGTGCTCCAGAATCATGGCATGTGGCGCAAGGAGCACAAGCAGCACAGGCATCAGCGGGTATGGGTCGTGGGCGAGGAGGTGAGGCAGGCAGGGAGGGTGCAGGGGGAGGGGAGGGTGCGAGTGGTGCTCTTGGTGCTGGGTATACATCGCACCCTACTTCGGGTCAGTATGGAGGACAGTCGGAAGACAGTAACAAGTACGACAGGTGGCAGCGGTGATTTTCACGCGTGATGAACGATTTGTGAAGAATGGATTTGTGACACGTGTTTTGCACTAGGAAGGGACGCATTTGTTTGAACGATATGCTTGTATGTACCGTACTAGAGTAGTGATGGTGGAATTGAAGTGTGTTGTTTGATCCTAAGATGTTAGCTAGTTATACATGTCCCCAATCATCTTTCAATGATGGTCAATCTGTGTATCTTTATGGTTTTCCAGAGCATGGTCATGTTTTGCCTTCAATCGCATATGGAGATACCTACGGTACGGTTTAAACCTTCCACAATCATGCACAGCAGTTTATACCGTTGTTGAGTGAAAAGTGTATTCATTCGAGTGTTCATGCCTTCAGCAGAACGGTGCGAACGGCTCGAGGGAGCAGCCAGCCAACTGAAGCAAGCAACAAGGCGAGCCGAGGCGAGGCGAGAGAAGAGGACAACCATGCACCATGCAAGTACATGTTGCGTGTATCAATTGCCTCACCGCCAACCCCTGCCTTCCACGGCACAAAACAACTCCTGCTCATGCAACCGCACTGCACCTGCTCTCAATCCGTTCGCCTTCACCACACCCCTGCTCGCTTTTCTTCGCAGCACTTCCTCCTCTCCATGCTCTCGTGTTCTTTCCTCAACAACTTGGGACTCTGGACTCCGCTTTTTCCAGTATCGCTTGCAGGCTTGCGGTTGTGGAAGCAACGGCTTGTGTTGTTGATCATCATCACGTTTTCAACATCTCTTCCTGACTGGTCTGCTCTGTCCTGTGCTAATCGCTCTCTGCTTCCGCGTATCGTCACGCGGGCTGGCGTCGCAACATCGTAGTTACTTAGTTACATCACCACCGCATCGTTGTATCGCGGCCTCGCCTGTTTCGCTGCTGCTCGCGTTTCAGATCTAAAGTACCACACGTGTGGCTCGGCGTATTAGGATCTCCGACTCCGTGCTTCTCGTTGCTCTCGTTGCTCTCGCCGACTCCGCTCATCCGTGTCTGATTCGCCGTTCCTGCGATCAGCTTGAATCTACGCGACTCTTCATCCATCGTCGTCACTTCTGTCGCGGAATTTGCCTCCAGCATCGCCGATTGGGTCGTCAGCGTCGCCGATCGCGTCGTCCGCGTCGCCGATCGCGTCGCCAGCGTCGTCGGTTGCGTCGTAAGCGTCGCCGCGGTCGCAGCGGGAGATGGAGAGCCCGGAGATCGTGGCCGAATTCGTAGCCATCACGGCCCAGCCGGAACGCGTCGCGCGGCAATACCTTGAGGTGCTCCTTTCCGCTTTCTCCTGGGAACCTTTTTTTTTCTATATTTGAAAAAAACGAACGGCCAGCCGCAACGCATGGTGCGGAAATACGTTGAGGTGCTCCCATCACCTAGCCCTTCATGCCCTCGTCACCCCGTCCTTCTCATCCCTCTCATCCTTCACTCTCTTCCCCCTTCCTTTCCCTCCCACTTCTTCTTCTCACACGTGCATGTCTCAAATCCCGCATCCCGTTCCCATCGCCTCGTCTTCCTCTTCGCTAACACCCGATCCTCCTACCGCCATCCTCCCATCGCCTAACGTTCTACTCCGCCTTCCTTCCATCCTCGCTCCTCAAAACAATTCCGACCTTAGACACCTCGTTCCCCACCCTTCATCTGGCATGTCCCGTGTTTCTCCGTTTCTGTTTCTCTCCTCTATGCGCTGTCTCGCTACAGGCGCATAATTGGGATCTGCAGTTAGCAGTGAATTTCTTCCTGGAGCATGGAGGGGATGAGGGTGGAGGCCTTGGGAACGGGTAAGTCTCTTCGCCTTGTGGTGTCGGCCTCTTACTCTGTTTCTGCTGCTCGCTTATATGGCCCGGCCATCGGTTTTTTTTGTTTTTTTTTTTTTTTGCGTGTGTTTGAACCGGCCTGCCGTATAAATGATATCACGCTTAGGGTGTTAGCACCGGTTGAATTCCACGATTTACCTGCCTGCACGTGCTGTAGCTGCAGACACGCACAGCACGTGCTGTAGCTGCAGACATGCACGTGCTTTTGAGAGTCGGAGAAACAACGTGTGCATGCAAGTGTATGCGCGTGCGACCTTTCTTTGCTTCCACGCGTCTGTCTTCTGCAAGCATACTTTCGTCCATGTGTTTTCCAATTGCACTGAGGAGGAGCATATGACCAGGCAGGTTGTTGAGTGTCAACTCATGAGTCAACTCACGAGTCAACTCGTGAGCATGTGTGTGTTTTTCCTGTTCCATCACACACATGCTCGTGGACGTTGGCTGGTTCTATTCTATGTGCATCATGCATACATGCATGATGCATGCGTGCAACCATGCATGTATGCATCCATCCATGCATCCATCTAACCATCCATCCATGCACCCTTGCATCATTGCATGCATCATGCATCCAGGATTGAATATTTCCGTACTGTCGTCTTCCCATTTGTCTTGACATTCAAGTCAAGTTCCTATTAAAATTCGAATGAAACGACTCAAAAGAAAACCCTGATAACTGCCTATATTACATCGTCCCTCCTCTCTAACCAACCCCCCCCCCCCCCCACCTCCTCCACGCATCTCCCTTCTTTCAGAATCACTGATGCCATCGATCTTACCAGCGAGCCTCCGCCTGCTGCTGCCACCACACGCCCTCGCACCTTCCATGGGCAGTACCTGGGTGGAGAGGAGCAGATGGGAGGGGCAGCAGGAATAGCAGGGATGCAGCGGCTGGAGGAGCAGGAGCAGGAAGAGGGGTTTGAGGACCTGAATCCTATGCGGCCCTTCATGACAGGCTCTGCGTTTGATCGCCTCATGCCCACCTCTCGTGCCCCTCCCATGGCTGCGACCGGTCGTGCTCCCTCCTCCGGACCTATTATCTCCGAGCCTCGGGAGGTTCGGGATATCCCGATCCAGTGGGACGATGCTGCCAGTAACGGTAACGGCAGTACTGGCGGTAGGCAGTACACGAGTGGTGGCGACCCGAGGGGTTTAGGAGGGGGTTTGGGTTTTGGGGAGGGTAGGGGGGTTGGTTTTGATGAGGCTTTTGACAGAGGGTATGGGAGGAGAGTTGGGTTTGGCCCATTTGGGTTAGCGTCTCAGGAGCAAGGGCAGCAGCAGGAGCAGCAGCAGTGGAATCAGAGTGGTGGAGTGCGTATTGAGGAGGTGGAGGATGGTGATGATGGTGCTGCTGCTGGTGCTGGTGCGTTTGGTGCTGGTGCGATTGGTGTAGGTGCAGGTGCTGAGGGAGTGGGGCGAGGGTTAAGGGGCGTGGGTGAAGGTGTGACAGGAGGGGAGTGGGCGAGGGGCCGGGTGTTTGTTCAGGAGCCAGGGGTAGGCGAGGCGGTTGGAGGAGCAGGAGGAGGGATGGGAGCAGCAGCAGGAGCAGGGATGGAAGCAGGAGCAGGAGCAGGAGCAGGGGGGGGGTTCGCTGGAGAGGCAGAGGAAACAGGGTTTGCTACCATGGTGAGTCTTTCAGGGCTCGTTGGTTCCTCCTTTATGTCTCTGGTTTGGATTGTGCCACGTCTGGACTCTGGAGGCATGTGGTGCCTTGAGGGGTGAATTTGTTTTGTGAAAATTCTTAAAAAAACAGATTCAACATGTCTCTCGTTTGGATTGTGCCACATCTAGGGGCTTGCGGTGCCTTGAGGGTGGCTTAGTAACTGAAGTTTCTTGATCTCACTCCGCTTCCACTTGTTCCCTTCCTGCCTTGCCCCCGTCACCATGTGTGTCACCATGTGTGTCACCATGGGTGTCACCATGGGTGTCAACATGAGTTGAGTTGGGGAACGTGCCAAAACACTCTTCCAACACATCTGTCGGCCCCATTCCCCACACCCGCGCTCCAGGTCCCTGCTTCAGCAGCATCACCCGTGGTTCTGGTCTGGAACAATACGAGGATGACGATGTGATGCTTCCAGTCGAGATGAAAGTTTTCTATTGCATGCTCATGGCAGGTCCCTCTGTCGTCAGGAGCAGCAGCAGCAGCAGCAGCAGCACCCATGGATGTGTAACAGGACGAGGATAGGATGACCATGTGATGCTGACTTGCGCCCATGTCCCACCCACCAACCACATCCGCATGGCAGTCTCCTGCTCTGCAGCAACCCAGGGAATTGGATGGAACAGGACGAAGTTGACGATGTGATGCTCACTCGTCGTCTGCCTCACCACTTCACTTCGTGCTGAAAACAGCTCAGATCACTCACTCCTGCCTCGCCTGCCCTGTCGTGCCCATCCCCACCACACCTGTGCTCCCAGGTACCTGCGTCAGCAGCAGCACCCATGGATTTGGATCAGGACGAGGATGACGATGTGATGCGCGCTATTGCACTGTCTATCAAGGTATGCCCTCTGTCCTGGTAGGCGCTTCCTTAGTGTTTTGAGACGTCTCAGAATTCCATGCATCGGCAGCAGCACCCATGGGTTTGGATCAGGATGAGGATGACGATGTATTGTGTGCTATTGCACTCTCTATCAAGGTATGCTCTGCTCTCTGTTGTCCTGGTGAAATAAGCTTGTGGTGAAAGAAAAACACCCTTTACGTTGCTTCGTTATCTTCTGGTTAAACTGTAATTCTAGAGATGTTATCGTAGATTAAAACGGAAAATATTCTTCTGAGACTTTGCGAAAGGGGAGGATGATGTTGTGATGTCGGCAACAGCACTCTTTATCAAGGTATGCGCTCCATGCAGGCAGGCCGTTGTCTTGGTATTTGCCCCGCAATTAGGGAGTGTCACTCACTTGAAGAATGAAACGAGCTTTCGCAAGAAGCAGGGTTTGGGTTTGAGGTTTAGGTTTTTACAATGGATGTGAAAGTCACGTGTGGTTCACTCAACTCAAGGTCTCGTTTGTTCATTTCGTTTCATGCATCAATTGTCTTGCATACCATTTCATTCTCACGCTTCATCGCGCGTTTTTTCTGTCTATCCACTGCCGTTTCCGTGCTGCGTTTTCTACACTCGCGTTCCCTTCCCCTCCCACCTCGCCCCCCCTTCCCACTTGCCGCTCACCGTGAGATGTATGTAACAGCGTAGCTCTTCCCTCCTCCTCTTCCGCCCAAACCCCCCTGCCGCAGACGGCAGAGGAGGAAGCAGCATCAAGGGGACAATCCGCCACAGCCTCACTCCAGCCTCCGTTAACAGTATCTGAAACGGCACCCTTACCACCTGCACCACCAGCAGCAGCAGCAGCAACGGAAGTGGCAGGAACAGGATTAGGGTTAGAAGCAGGGGGGTTGCCTTCCTGGCCGCACGTGACAGGATATTCAACCCAGAGCGGACTGGGCGGTGGTGGTGGTGGGTATGAGGAGGAAGAAGAAGAGGAAGAGGAGCCGGTGCAGCCACTCATGCGGCGGCGTGTGTACCATCCTTACCACGGTTCAGACGGAGGCGGGGGTGGGGGTGGGGGAGGGGGAGGGGGAGGGGGAGGGGGAGGGGGGGGGGGGCATAGAGGCAAATGAGGGGCGATCAGGTGCAGCTGCTGCTCCTGGTGCTGCTGCTGGCGGGTTTAGCAGTGGCGTTGGGAGTGGAAGCGGGTATGGCAGTGGCAGGGGTAAGTTCAAGTCGCCATGGCAATCCGACCAGTCAGCATTACACCCTGAGCTCAATCACACCCTCCCGGCAGCAGCACCTGCAGCTGCAGAAGCAGCAGGAGCAGCTGGGGCAGGAGATGCAACAGCAGATGCGGACGCATGGCGAAGCGGGAAGCATGGTGGGGGGTCCCGGGGTGCGGAAGGTGAAGCAGCAGCAGCAGCGGGGGAGGGTATGGGGGGGACGACGGCAGGGATGGCAGGCGGGGATGCTGGTGGGGCGGCAGGTGGGATGGACGTGAGTGGGATGAGTGAGGAGGAGGTAGCTGCAGTGATGAGGGCGGTTGACGAGGCGTCTGCTGCTGAAACGGCCGCTGCCGCTGCTGCCGCTGCTGCTGCTGGTGATGGTGATGGGGCGGATGCAGCACCCACTGCTGCCCATGATCATTTGGGGGTGAGTAAATGCAAGTGTCAGCATTTCAGCATGTCAGCGTGTCAGCATGCCAGCATGTCAGTATGTCAGTATGTCAGTAGGCCAGTACATGCATCCAGATTCCTGTTCCTTGGCATTTCTCCCACCCTACCCTCGATCCACATGTGCACAGTCAAGAGCCTGCTCAATACAGAGCAGGAAATAATTTTCGAGTCAACTCAAAAAGTGCCTGCTCGCTCCACATGTGCGGGGTCTATCACACGCAGAGCAGGAGGAGGTGCGAATCATGGAAGCAATCATGTTCGGAACCCCCCTTCCGGACCATGACCCTATCTCCTCCATTCCCTCAATGTTTGCCCTCCCTTTGTACACGTGTGCAGGGTCTATCACACGCAGAGCAGGAGGAGGCGCGAATCATGGAAGCAATCATGTTCGGAACCCCCCTTCCGGACCATGACCCTATCTCCTCCATTCCCTCAATGTTTGCCCTCCCTTTGTACACGTGTGCAGGGTCTATCACACGCAGAGCAGGAGGAGGCGCGAATCATGGAAGCAATCATGTTCGGAACCCCCCTTCCGGACCATGACCCTGCTCTTGCTGCCGCTGCCGCCGCCGCCGGTGCTGGCGCCACAGGCACTGCCATGCACCCATCTCTCTCCGCCTCTGCTGCTTTTGCCGCCGACGCTTCTACTGCTGCAGCTGCCGCCGCTGCTGCCGGCGCACCCTATGGTTCTGCTTACATGTCTGGTGGTGGCTCCTCCCTTGGTCTCCCCCGTAGACCCCACTCGTGGCGGCAATACGGAGGAGGATTGGGAGAGATGGGCGCGGGTGGTTCGATGGGAGGCGTGGGTTTGGGAGGGAGGTATGGGCGAGGAGCGGGTGGAGGTGGAGGGGAAGTGGGGGGTGAGGGGGAGGGGCAGGGACGGGAGGAAGGGGAGGAGGAAGAGGAGGAGGATGAGGAGGGATTGGGGCAGTGGGCGAGGGAGTGGAGGAGGCAGCAGAGGCGTCAGCAGCAGGCAGCGCGGCCGCCATCGCCTCGCATGCTGGAAGAGAGGCTGCTGAGGCAGGAGCAGGTGAGAGGGGGAGGGAGGGTGAAGGAAGGTTGAAGGGAGAGGTAGGGAAATTAGGCGGGTGGGGGAGAAAAGGGGCGCGGAGGCGCAGCCGCCGTTGCTACGCATGCTGGAAGAGAGGCTGTTGGGGCAGGAGCAGGTGAGAGGGTTAGGGAGGGCTGGGTGGGGGCAGACAAGGGTGGGGGAAAGTAAAGCAGCTGGCGGGGAGCCAGGAGGGGAAGGAGGGGTTCAGTTTTGAGGTTCCTCTATCTGAGTCACACATCCCCTGCTCTCCCACATGCCTGGCCCCGCATCTGCCCTGCCCCCCACTTGCCCTGGTCCCTACTTTCCCTGCCTCCCACTTTCCCTGCCTCCCACTTTCCCTGCCCCCCACTTTCCCTGCCCCGCACTTGCCCTGACCCCCTTTCACCATGTGGTCAGGACAAGGAGTAATTTAAGTCCTTGCTAGCAGGCTGGGAGGAGGAGGAATGTAGTGATACAAGGGACCTCTATATTGACATTCACTGCTCTCCCACCCTTCCGCTCCCCCCTCACCATGTGGTCAGGACGAGGAGTATTTTTAAGTCAATGATAGCCGACCAGGAGAAGGAGGAGGAGGAGAGTGTTGATAAGGTGCTCCTATTGAGAATTTTACTGGCCCCCCATGTGCTCTACCCCCTTCCTGCCTCACCATGTGGGCAGGACGAGGAGTATTTCAAGTCACTGATAGCCGACCAGGAGAAGGAGGAGGCAGCGCGGAGGAAGGAGGAGGAGGAGCGGCAGAGGCAGCAGCAGGAGGAGCAGCAGCGGCAGGACGAGTTGAGGCGGCAGAGGGAGGAGGATGAGGTAAGGGGATGGAACGATGATGAATGTTTGTCTGCCTGCCTGTCATTACTCGTGGTTGGAATTTGAGAAGGAGGGCCGCAGCGCTAGAGGGAGGAAACGCTTGAGCAGACGAGAGCAAGAGTACAGAAGTAGCCGGAGGAGTACCCTTGCTGCTACTAGTTGAGGCGGCAGAAGAAGCAGCAGGAGGAGGTGGTTTTTGAGAATTCTCAAAAACCCGCTTGAGCAGACAAGAGCAAGAGTACTGAGGTACCCTTGCTGCTAGTTGAGGAGGCAGAAGTAGGCAGTGACGCCTCTTTGGCTCGTGGTTGGGATTTAAGGAGGGCTGCAGCGTTGGAGGAAACGCTTGAGCAGACAAGAACAAGAGTACAGAAGTAGCAGGAGGAGTACCCTTGCTGCTAGTTGAGGCAGCAGAAGGAGCAGGAGGAGGTGAGTGAGGGACTTTTGAGTCGACTCAAAAGTCACAGCGTTGGAGGAAACGCTTGAGCAGACAAGAACAAGAGTACATAAGTACCCTTGCTGCTACTAGTTGAGGCGGCAGAAGGAGTCGTGTTTTGAGTCGACTCAAAACGCTTGAGCAGACAAGTACAAGAGTACAAAAGTACCCTTGCTACTAGTACTAGTTGAGGCGGCAGAAGGAGCAGGGGAGGTGAGTGAGTGGTGTCTCTTTGCTTCGCCTTGTGTGGCTGGCAGAGGACTTGTGGGACTTGCGGGTTTCTTCCTAATATTGTACCCTTTCTGTTCATGCAAGCATGCTCCCATGAAGGCTGCTCTGGTCAATAAAAGCAGCGATTATCTTCTCTCTTTTTTCCTTACTTCCTTTTCCTTTGCTCCTGTGCTCAACGTCATGCAAGTCGTTTGTTCAAAGTCATCACAAGCATCCTTGCGGCTTGCCCTCTATAACCCATTACAATGTCTCCTGCAGAGACTCGAATGGACCAATTTTCTTTGTGCCCAAACCAATTATACATTCACGTGGCATATCCCCACTGCATTTCAGGAGGAACAGTGGCCGGTGGTGGTGGCCTTAGAAGGCACTTTTGAGTCGACTCAAAAGTCATCTCGTTTCAGGAGGAACAGTGGCCGGTGGTGGTGGCCTTAGAAGGCACTTTTGAGTCGACTCAAAAGTCATCTCGTTTCAGGAGGAACAGTGGCCGGTGGTGGTGGCCTTAGAAGGCACTTTTGAGTCGACTCAAAAGTCATCTCGTTTCAGGAGGAACAGTGGCCGGTGGTGGTGGCCTTAGAAGGCACTTTTGAGTCGACTCAAAAGCCATCTCGTTTCAGGAGGAACAGTGGCCGGTGGTGGTGGCCTTAGAAGGCACTTTTGAGTCGACTCAAAAGTCATCTCGTTTCAGGAGGAACAGTGGCCGGTGGTGGTGGCCTTAGAAGGCAGGCACCATCGCTGCCTGTGAAGTGAGTGAGGCCAGCAGCTTTTGAGACTCTCAAAATCCACCGTCTCTTCACCCCCTCCTTTCATATTCCAACCCAACCGTTTCCGTCAGAAGGAGTAGCGGCAGCAGGGGAGGAGGGCGCTATCACTCCCATCAAGCCGCGCCAGACGACTTTTGAGCCAACTCAAAATTCACTTGCTTTTCACCCTCTCTCTCACACACCCAATTGTGTGCCGCCTCAGGAGGAGCAGCGGCAGCTGGCAGCAAAAGAGGCATCACTGCCTCTGGAGCCAGCAGCAGGGGAGGAGGGCGCAATCACTCTCATGCTGCGCCTCCCAGACGGCTCCCGCCTAAGCCGCCGGTTCCTTACCTCGGATACCTTACAGGTGAGGGCATTGAGGTGACTTCTGAGTCGACTAAAGAAGGGTGACTTTTGAGTCGACTCAGACGGCTCCCGCCTAAGCCGCCGGTTCCTTACCTCGGATACCTTACAGGTGAGGGCCTTGCTGGTGGTTAGCGTTCAGTAGTTGGCTTGGCACCCGCACCAGAGGTGAGCAAGTGCTGCAGGTGCCCTACGACTATATTTTGAGGCGCCTTAAAATACACCCACACCAGAGGTGAGCAAGTGCCGCAGGTGTCCTACGACTGCCTCACTCATCTGCCTCACTCATCTGCCTCATTAGTAGTATACTGGCGACACAGATGAGTGAGGCCGGGCCGGGCCATGGTTTGATGTTTCCTTCCTAATCTCTTCAGGTAGCGGTTCAGGTGATTGAGTTGAGGCTAGAGAGGAGAGAGTTCCGTGAGGTGATGATGATGATGATGATGCGATTCTGGGGCCCCTTTTTTATTCCAAGGTGGTCTGAAGTTGCGGGGCAATTGTTCTTTACCTCTGCAATTCCATGGTTTGACTTTGATGTATAACGCTGGGTAGCATCTAGCGTGGTGCTGGCTAGCATCTAGCTTTTGTTCTTTAATACCAGAGAACATGCTTTTGTACGATGGGGAAAGGTCACCTTTTACAATGCTGGCCTTTAATTGAACGCTGGCTGAGTGAAGCTCTTGCTCCCCTTCATTTTGCGCTTTTCTTTTCCCTCCTGTTTTTCCTTGTTTTCCATTGTCTCTTTCTTTCTCTCTGTTTTCCTCCTTGGTTCAAGTTACATAGGCTGACAATGCTGTCTCCATCATCCCTTTCCACCTTCTTCAACCGCTTTTTTTCTCCCTCCCGCCCTCCTCCTGCCGTCCCTCGCTCCTCTTCCTCCCCGCTTCTGCCATCCATGCAGGCGCTTTTTGACTACGTGGATGTGAGCAAGCGAGTCAAGCCCAACACATACACCATTGTAAGCCTGACTTGCATACACTCACGCTCTACACTTTCTTGCGCCCGTGCGGCACCATCGTAAGCCTGCCTGCTATCCCCCCCATTCCTGCACATCCTAGGCGCCCTCATCTCCTCCCCCTGCACACACAGTCTCTCTTGTTACCCCCCTCATTCTCTCCGTGTTTTGTGTCCTGTACCGATCTTGAAGGTGATTGTGTTGCTTGTCTCTCCTTCTCCCTTCCCTATCTCCTCCCTCGCTCCTCCCTCTCTTCATTCTCGCCTCCCACTCTCTTCCCTTTTTCCTCTCTCTCTCTCTCTCGTTCCTCCCTCGCTCCTCCTTCCTCCTGTCTCCCCACTGCAGGCACGGTAGTAACTCGGCGTGTATTTCAGCTAGCAGATGCGCATGCAATTCTGGCAGATGTGTTTTGACTCTACCCAAAACACACATCTCGCCATCCTCTTCCCTCCCTTTTCTCTCCCCACTGCAGGCACGGCAGTTCCCCCGCCGCGTGTTTCAGCCAGCAGAGGCGCATGCAACCCTGGAAGATCTGGGCATTACCAACAGGCAGGAAGCCTTCTACATTCAGCAGCTGTAGCCGACAGCTGTAGTCCACAGCTGTAGCTCATGGCTGGAGCTCACGACTGTAGCCGACAGCTGTAGCTCATGGCTGCAGCTCACGACTGTAGCCGACAGCTGTAGCTCATGGCTGGAGCTCACGACTGTAGCCGACAGCTGTAGCTCATGGCTGCAGCTCACGCCTGTAGCCGACAGCTGTAGCTCATGGCTGCAGCTCACGCCTGTAGCCGACAGCTGTAGCTCATGGCTGCAGCTCACGCCTGTAGCCGACAGCTGTAGCTCATGGCTGCAGCTCACGACTGTAGCCGACAGCTGTAGCTCATGGCTGGAGCTCACGACTGTAGCCGACAGCTGTAGCTCATGGCTGCAGCTCACGCCTGTAGCCGACAGCTGTAGCTCATGGCTGCAGCTCACGCCTGTAGCCGACAGCTGTAGCTCATGGCTGCAGCTCACGCCTGTAGCCGACAGCTGTAGCTCATGGCTGCAGCTCACGCCTGTAGCCGACAGCTGTAGCTCATGGCTGCAGCTCACGCCTGTAACCGACAGCTGTAGTGATGGCTCTAGCGATAGCTGTGGCTTGCAGCTGTAGCGACAGCTGGAGTGATTGGTGAAGGGAGGAAGGGGACCAAGTGGGGGTACAGGGGGTAGGGGAAAGGTAACGCCTAACTGGCTTAGGGGGGGTGGGAAAGGATGGAATCAGGGAGGAGAAGGAGAGTGCGGGGGGTGTGTAATGAAGGGCAGTTGGGTGGACGGGGAAGGGGGGCATGAGTAGGATGAGAGGAAGAAATGGGCAGTTGAGGAGAAGTGAAGGGAGAGTGGATGGAAAGGAGAGTTGGGGGGAGAGGCACCTTGGTACATTCCGTTTCTCCATGGGGCAAGAGAATGCGGCTTTGTGGCTGGAAACTGGGCTATATTGCTATAGGCATGGCTTACTTGTCCCACTAGGCTCTTTGCCAGTTGCATGGCAGTAGTGTACTGGTTGCTGGAATTGACTGGCGAGATGTGCTTGTGCATCCGTCCATGCACTGCCATGTACATAGCTTCTTGATTGGCTGACAACGGATGCATTGGTACTGCAGAAACATATGGAATTGTCTCATTCAGGAAAAGAGCACATCAATTGGGCTGTGTTTGGCAAACAATTGATAACCAGTACTCTTATACTTTGGATGTAAAATCTCTCAGGACGGGTCAGGTAGCGTTCGTTTTCCGGAAAAGGTATACCATGGTACCCGAGATCTGTGTGTATCCGAACTCTTTATGCTTTTATCGAGAACAGCCATGATTCACTGTTTACGTCACACAACTCGCCCTCTTGCCTTTCAAGGACCAGTTGCCTTTCAAGGACCAGTTTCTGGTTTCTGCCTATCACAACACTACGGTGCTGTTCGCCAGCAAATCGTTTCTTGAACAGAAAACGATGGCATCGGCATCGCGACCGCATCTGGAAACGGGGGCGGAACCCTCCTCCGAGGTTTGGGCGTAATGCCGCTCCAGAAACTTCGCGTGCCCGAAAGGCAAAATTACGCAACCGCATTGGGAAGGTCCATCCCCACCTTCCCCCTGCGCGCAAAAGTTTAGCCTCTGAACGGCAATGCGACGGCTGTGCCGTCGCTGTGCTTCGAAAAACGGGGCATGGCGATGGCATGGCTTGGGTATGGAACTTTGCCTGGGGACGAAGTTGCGTCCCCGCTTCCACATGCCGTCGAGCAGCTCGTTTTGGTGGACAAATGGGGGCGTTCGCCAGACCCAATTTGTTTGTTGGTTTGGACGGTTGGGAGGCTCGGCACCTTTTTACGGGCTGACCAGGCTGACGGAGGTAAACGAACCCTAACGGACGGGATCAGGAAGGCGAGACCCACCTTCTTGATCCCGTCATTATCCCATGGTTTTTTGCTTCATTGGTGCTGGCGAACAGCCCCTACGCGTCATGCCTCCGCGGCATTTTCGTTCTCACACGCAGTTAGCGGCAAATTTTAGTTCCCACTCATTCGTTCGTTGCAGCAGACTTGTGAAGCAAGGATGGCGCAGTTTGCATCGATTAAAGAACACCTATACCTCGTGAAGCAGGAACGGGTGAGCAGCCTTCCCTATCAATGGCCACATCGATCAACCATCTGCCAGACCATCTTCTCTCCAAAATTGTCACACTTGCCACCGCCGCCAACCCCGCAGAACTGACAGCCGAAGTTGATGCCGCGGATACTGGCCAGACTGGCGAGTCGAACTTCACGGATGGCTCCGATCGTAGCACCGTCGCGGTCGTTTGTAAGCGATGGATGCTCCTGATGACGACCCTGCGCGTCCATGGCGGTTTTAAGTCACACTCCGAGACCGAACTCCGCAATACCGAGCCGCGCCCGATGACGCTTTCCGCCCCCGCGATCTCCGCGCCGGCGCTCCTCCGCACGCTGGCGCTCGCGCCAAGCGTCACGGCGCTTTCTCTGGAGGCGAACGCCGTCGATTTCTACGACGACGAGTTTCTGTCTCGCCTGCTCTCCGCGCGCCCTCAGCTCGCCCGCCTCAGCATCGCCGCCCCCCGCTTCACCGGAACGCCGCACTTTCGAATCGGCACGAAAGCTGTCGAGAATTTCTTCCGCCTCGCCTCGTCGCGCCTGCAAGAGCTCTCGCTGCGCGAATGCTTCGGCCACACGACGAAGCTTCCTGCTTCCGTCGCGTCGCTGTCGTCGCTGCGCGTGTTCCGCCTGTGCAGTAAGGTTCTCCGCTCGCTGTCCGGCGAAATATTCCGCCTGTCTGCCCTGCAGGAACTTTATCTAAACTGCCCGTTGCTGCAGCAGCTGCCCGAAACTTTCGGCCGGGTAACAAGGCTGGAGCACCTTTCGTTTACGGACTGCAAGGACATGCGGCGCCTGCCGGACTCGCTCGGCGATCTCTCCTCGCTCACCTCTCTCCACATCGACGGCTCGTGGCACGTAGATCGCTTCCCGCCTCGCGTCGGCGCGCTGCAGCAGATGCGGCGACTGGAGCTGCGAAACTTCACCGGCGCGTTACCAGACGCATGCGAAGAGTGGGCGAAACTCGAGCAGGTCACTCTGGATTCGTGCCCCGACATGCGCGCTTTCCACTCGCGTCCGTGCACTCCCTCACGCATCTCACCATCAGCGCGTGCTGGAAGCTCCAGACGCTCCCACCCAACCTGCCCTTCGCATCCGCACTGCACCATCTAACGATCAACTATCTCAACTTCGAAGTGTCCCTCGGACCGCTAAGCGATCTAGTCTCTTTGGAGCGATTAGAGGTCTCAAGTGTCGACCGCGAGGAGAGCTTTCCCGCAGCGCTCTTCGCGTTGCCATCGCTTGCGTATGTGAAAGCGGGGTACGTGTGGTGGGTGGAAGCTGACGAGGTAGTGGCTATGGAGGAGTCGAGGGAGCTAACCGCACTCCCGAGGGAGCTAACCGCACTCCCTAATGCTGATAGACACGTGGCACTGAACCATCCCGCTGGTGCTGCCGCAGCAGCAGGTTCAGCAGATGATACCGCCGACCAATCAGCACTCGGCCCGTCTCTGAAGCATTTCAGCATCTGCATGGGCACTGCCGGGCCCGGCAGGCGAGGCGGCAGGCTCTCCGCGCGTGTGTGCTCGCTGCTCTCCCTCACGCACCTCTCCATCGACTGCCTCTCTTCCTCCGCCCTCCTGCCCTCCAACCTCGGTCATCTCTCCAACCTGCGCTCGCTCTCGCTGCGTGGCACCTGGCTCTGCCTGCCGCACTCCCTCTCTCGCCTCGCCCCGTGCCTGCACTCGCTGAAACTTCACTACAGCGGCGACAGGAGCGGGGATTCCTTCCAGTGCTCTCTCCCTTCCTTTCTCACGGATCTCACCTCCCTCACGCACCTTTACCTCCGCAACATGCACGCTCCCTCCTCCCCCCCGCCCTCCTTTGCGCCCCTGCGCGCCCGCATGGAGCAGGACAGCTGCTTCCCCGGCCACATGTCACTTCCAGAAGATCTGGGCCAGCTGGCAGCGTTGGAGTGGCTGGAGCTGAGAGGCTGCTGCTTGAGAGACAGCCTTCCGCGGTCCTTCTGTGACGTGACCTCCCTGCGACGCCTCTTCATTGGTAGCAAATCCCTAAAGCATCTGCCCACGGCGATCTCTAAGCTGTCGCGCCTGGAAGAGCTCACTATTCACTGGTGCCACAGCCTGGAATCCCTGCCTTCGGGATTTGGCAGCTTGGGAGCACTGAAGAAGCTGAATATCCGCGGTGTGTCGAAGGATTATCTTCCCGACACCCTTGGCGGCTTATCCTCCCTCGAGGAGGTTTCGTTGGCTCTTTGCTCTCACAGTTTCAGCCTGCCTCGCTCCTTCTGCCACCTCCCTCGCCTGCTCACGCTTACTCTCACCAGCTGTGATGATCTCACCACCCTGCCTGCCAACTTCGGCTCGCTATGCTCCCTGCAGCGCCTCTCTGTCGTCTCGTGCAAAAAGTTCCACCATCTGCCAGACTCGTTCTCCGGCCTTCCCTCCCTGACCCTTCTCAGCATCTCCAACTGCCCGGATTTCTCCTCCCTTCCTGAGACCTTTGGTTCGTTGCCCCGCCTAACTCGCCTCATTGTTGTTGAATGTGACTCATTTACCCACCTTCCCGGTTCCTTCTCCTCCCTGTCTGCGCTCCGAGTGGCCTGCTTCAGCCTCTGCAAGCAGCTGCACTCCCTCCCGCCCACCCTTGGCCTGCTGCCTCGCTTAGAAGTGCTTCAATTGAGGGAGTGCGTGGCACTCAAGTCGCTACCAGAATCGCTGAGGGAGGTGAGGGCACTGAGGCACGTGGATGTGTATGGTAGTGGTGTGTCGGAGGAAGGGGTGGAGGTGCGCGTTTGTGGAAAACAAGTGCATGTTGTGAGGGGGGGGATGGGACTTCCCAAGCATGTGGGGACAAAGGACAAGGGGAGGAAGGGGAGAGGATGATCGGAGATTAACATGGAGGAAGGATAGCATTGGTTCTGTATCCAATAGGGTACACTCCTTTGTTTGTATGACCTGAAATGAAGCTTTTTAATGAGCATGCTGATATTGAGCAAAGAATGTATCCGTCTCCTGAGTTGCTCTTGGCCAGTGTTTTGCAATCATTATGTCGAAGACCACCTTGGTGTTATTACAAACTGCCAACCGACCGCTTTCGCGGAGGGGACGGCTGACACGTAGTGGGTGCTGAAATTTGACGGTGGATGTTGTGGCTCTCCACGGCGCTACTGGATGACGCCTGCCCCGTCATCGTCAACGTCACCTCTCCGTCAGCTCGTGCCACGTCACGGAACCCAACCTTTCATGTCAAACCCACCTGCCCGGCACACTCAAGGAAAAGCCACTCCAAACCAAAGCGGATGAATGCTGAGGTGGAGAATTCCCACTTGTTCTTTGTAACTGGTAGTAACAGTATTTCGCCGAGTTCGTGGTGGGTGTTTCTTGCGGCGACGGCGGTGTCTCCTTGTCGGGACGGTCGTCGCGAAGACCAGTCGCGTTCATCTCATCCATTCGCTTTTCTGATCAGAAGCAACGAGTTATCCGCTCCGCTATTGCCTCGCCGCCAGCTATTGGGGAAACACCAGGCTGGGTGGATCCGAGAAAAGAGTAGATAGAATCACGAGCAGAAACACAAGTAGCAGCATTGCCCCTCATATTCCCTTCCCAGCGTTTGTAATGCGTCATAATTGCTTCCGCTATTAGGGATCGGGGCATCCGGCACGTCGCTTCGCGTTGACGGTTGGCGATCGGACCGCGCATCCAGGTTGTTGATTAATCCGAGCTTCTTAACTGATCGCGATCCAGTGGCAGCGATGATCGGACGATTGATTCCGACGCCGGGGCACTATCACGGCACGGGGACTTGCACGCTGGGATTGGTAGGTTGGGGAGTCGAAATGACGGTACAAGGGGTGGTAGATGAACGAGCGAGCAGGGTTTAGCATCAAAGCCAGAGGACCAGAGGTACCCAGGCCACGTTCACACGGTTCTCTCTCAGACGATTCGGATCCGTGTAACTGGTGTTTAATATGCGATTCGCGTGTCTTTTCCTTCGTATTCTGGGGCCTCGAGTGCGATACGTACAATTCGCGAGACTGATCTGGTGCTGTTGTCGCGTGTCTCCGTAGAAAATCTGCGTATCAAATCTCCGTAGCAAATCTGCGTATCACATCTCCGAAGCATATCTCCGTGGAGTATTTCCGTATCTCACTGTCGTCCCGCATCCTTCTTGCCACCTTGACTCGTAGCCTCGTCGATTCCGCGGCCATGCGATGCTCGGGGCGCGTCGAGCTCTCCGTCCACGTGACTCGTAGCTCACATCCACGTGTCTCAAGTCTGTTCCGTCTCCATTCTATCCTGTCGCGACTAACTTCTTTTCACCGTTAACCTTCCGTAAAGCTCTCCGTCATGCCCATTTGCCTTACTCCATCCCTCCCAATTCTCCCTCCCTGGCAGCACTCCACCTCTCTCTCCGTGTCACGTGCGCACACCGCAGATCCCGCCATGCTCGCCTGTCTC